ACTCCCTTAATTGGCAACAGCTTGCAATGAGAAAATGAACTCACTGCTCAAGGAGAATGTATGGACCAGTGTTAACTGTCATGTAAACAAAATCATGCTATTCTTCATAGAAATAATCTTGGTACCATTTGCCGTATCAACAGATCAATGTTTCACATGTGAACCTGGAATAATGAGATTAACTTTCATTGGATTCACAAAGCTGTCAGCTGGGGTGACATTTCTCTTAAACACTGTCCAACTGAAGAGATGGTTGCTGACTTACTCACAGTAGCTCTTGGCAAGCAGCAGTTCACCAAACTTAGGAGCAAATTGGGAATCAAGTGACCTCATTGGTCTTGAGGGGGTGTGTTGGAGTAAATTGTGGATTGGTCAAAACCAATGAAGGTCAGGGAGTAGTATTCAGGTTAACTTAAGCTAGTGTAGTGAGGATGGTAAGAAATGCACTGTGAACAAATTAGAATCAAACAAGTCAATTTAGAATACGTGGTCAAGAGGTTGAGTTGTTGTGTAGAAGGATTGACCGCATTGGGATTGGTGAACTAATCACGTTATGGAAACATTAGAAGAAATTACCGGATTGGGACTGGTAGTTTATTTAGAATGTGGACGTAGTGTTTCTGATTCTCAAAATTGCCATTTGTTGTTTTTACTTATAACCAAGCCTCTCCTCACATTTAGATCTTTTTCCCTCATTAAGGAAAAAGATTCTAAACGTGAGTTATTGCCAATTTCTTTTTCTCTTCTTTACTATCTTACTAAAAACTCACGTTTCTCTTCTACCTCATACATCTTCACTCTACTAGTTCTTATCTATAATCCTCCTTGTCTTTCAGGTCTGTCCGAGTTTAGAACTCGTGTCTTTTCATTGCCTCAGTGTGTCTTGTCAACACGAACTGATAAGTTCTTGTTAAACCTTTTAAAAGGTGTGTTGTATGGGGCTTATTTTCTTTTTCTCTTTTGCTGATTAAAAAAAAAGATTCTAAACTTCTTATCTATAATCCTCCTTGTCTTTCAGGTCTGTCCGAGTTTAGAACTCGTGTCTTTTCATTGCCTCAGTGTGTCTTGTCAACACGAACTGACAAGTTCTTGTTAAACCTTTTAAAAGGTTCCTGTCGTAGATCTACAGCGTCGAGCTTGTGATCCTCATTTTCTAACACGAAGACTTTGTTCGATTTATATCACTGGCCTCCGAAGTCCAACATCGCGCCGGCACCGCGTTGCGTCTCACACCAAAAAGCCCTCCAGTTCTCCCTTTCCTCAGCAAAGCTCTTGACCCCAAATTTCCAACTCACCTTCTGCAAGACTTATGGAGTATCAGCTTCCAATTGTTACCCACCACGAGGTTCGACCCTGTGGCTGCCATCCGAAAACTGGGACTTCAAAGTGATCCCAAAATAGCTGAACAATACCTACGCGCCCCGGTATCGAAATGCCTTGTATGCCCTGAAGCATTATCACCAAATTTGCACCTCCATAGCCGTCTCAATGGATACCTCTACAACACCGACGGTGTCCACCCAGTTCAGACTATCATCCTCGATTGCCCACGTGAGTCCAGTGTCTTGATTGGCATTGGTTTACGTCACGAAGCTGACTTGATACCTTCACTTTGCAGGATGCGGTGCTTCGTATAGGCCAAGTTATTACACACACACCAGGATGCGACACTATTACACCCTTGGAATGGGCCGCGACGTCGACATCCTTCACGTTCACTGCCACTACTACATCACCAACAGGTTGGCCCATATGTTACGTGTAATACAGATGCTTGCCCAGTAAGAAAGATTCCAATCGCATCATTCAGTTTCTTTGAACCGACATACATCAAGCTGATCACTCACACTTTTTTCCATTTCAATACTTCCAAGTGTTTCACACTTCAACTTGACAAACTGGTTTAATGAGGTCTACGTTGAAAACACCGACGTTCCTCTGTTTGAATTGGGTCAGGTGTTTTCCCCGGCGATGTCTGAAGTTGTGTGCCTAGACGGCCTTGAACTGCGGGATTTGCTAGCCCACCAAGATCGTTGCCAAAGTCAACTGGTGGTTCCTGCCAACGGAACGGACGACAATCGATTTGACGAGGCTATCGCCTACCATCTGGACCAATTGGATGTGGAAGGGACCAGATTCCGAGACCATTACTGTAGTAAATGTGTCCGTGTGAAATCAGGAGGGGTGGATCCTGGAACAGGCGAAGAGGTTTTCCTTGGTACGTACAACATTATATTGAGATGTTTAAAGTTAGATGGCAAAATGTTAAGAATTTCTGGCTCTAGGCATCCGCGCCGTGGTCACTGATGGACTCACCATTGGCCACTGGCGCTGCAGCGCAACCACCGAGCAGCTCGAAGAGCTCGCCAGCACGGCAGGACTCCCCGCTCCGGAAGGCCCTTGTACCAACCCCCTCATCAAAAACAACGACCGCTTCTGTGAACATCATACGTCACTTCTAGGCCAAAGATGTCATGTACAGCCGTGTAGACGTGATGCTTTACCAGAGTCCAAAACATGTGGCCAAAACGCCCACATCGAAGCATGGGCGAAATTTACGAACCGTGTGAAATCGAATTTCTCACTAACGGCGATCCTCAATCGCCCCGGTTCAAATTTGCCCTCCGATCCGACTGTCCACCTCGACAGCGAGACAGGCGAGTTCATTGATCTCGAGGGTTTGCGGCAAGCCGATGAATCAAACCGCGCACATGAAGCCGCTCGCAAAGGTGGGGAATCGCAAGCAGCTGGGAAAACAGTAATGTCCAGATGCCGGACACATAATGATCAACTCGTGGTTGGATGTTGCGGGATCATCTTGGCGCGGAAGACCTTCTATCACGCTGAATCAGTCAGCGCGGTCAAGGTGAGATTTTAGTCTACGACGGGTGTTACACATGCATGCTGATTATTATCAATTACTCAATTGGTCTTGCAGCACTTTCTGGAGGATTTGTTTCCACAAGGGATGCCCGAAGTTGTCTTTTATGACAATGCTTGCCGACTAACTGAGCACATTTATCATGGAAGAGATACGGATGCGACTTGCTTCCAAGGTACAGTAATACCTGTAGATCCATTCCACCACCGATCTCATGCCGAAAGCGACGACTTTTGCAAGCGCTTCACCAACCCAAAACTGTTTCCCGATATACAAGAAGATGGAAAGTGGATATTCAATGCTTCAGCTGCCGAACTAACTAATATTTGGTACGGTGGTTTCGCCTCGATGTGCCGAAATATGCATTCAATAAGGTATAATTTCTTCTTGGAAGAAATGGTCAACTTGCGCAATATATGGCTCACCAAGAAACTGAGCAAGCGCGCTGGGATGGAGTTCCTGGGGAATGGTTGGGTGTAGTGCTACCCAAACATTTGTACTGTAGATCCATCGCCCAACAGAAACATGTATGACTGGCAATCGTAATATCATGATCGATCACGTAAGATTTACATTCAAATCATACGACTCATGTGTCTCAATTGCATGCAAAGATCCAATCGTTCAAACAGGAGCATGAGTCTACTGTCTGTGTTGAACATAATCTTAAGATAGATAGCATAAGTACATGATGAAAAGTTGAGATGCCTAAATTCATTTGAAAAGTTGAGAAGCTAAAGTCATTTGGGCATCTCCCTTGCTCAATACTAGCTGAACACTCACTCACACTCAGCGGGACACTCATCACTTCTGTTCATCTGTTCGTCTGTTCACAAGTTTGTGCGCAAGTGAAACACACGTGATGTTATAACCTTTGCAACTGCTGACTTAAACGAGTGTAAAGTGATGGGTAGGTATCACAAGGTCAAGATCTATCATGCAACACATTGCGAATCTTAACTCACATCACGTAATGATGTAGCACCTGGTGACAAAAAGAGTTGTACCCGTTTAAATATACGTCAGTCACCAAATCAAAATCCAATCATAAACAACTGTCAACTTACTTGAACAATGAAACGCTTTGAGTGTTTGTCTTTGTTCACAATGTTTCCTTGCAACCACATGAGGGAACCTACTTGAATTTCATCAAGCTCTGGTAAATCGGGAGTAAAATGACCAAAGCGGTAAGTGATCACAAAATCAAGTTTCCTTTGGGTCTGTGTGAGCGACAACAAAATGATCAGTAAATAAAAAGAAGACTAGATATACTATCAGTACTCACTTCGGGGTCGTAGTACTCATGTTCAGCCTGGACTGTGAGATTCCATTCACCTCCTGCATTGGTGATGTTATCCATCACAGCTTCAAGCACCTTGCCCACGCCACTGATTGAGGCTTTCCCAGCTAGTTCTTTGGGATCAGGGGTGTGGTTGCTGAGCTTACTCTCGGTCAGTGGACTGTGCTTCATCAAAGCTCGTCCGGTGTCTGGATCTTGACCGAATGGCCCAGTAAGGAGGTAGGTGGAACCACGGTTGAGCAAATCGTACTCTAATGCAAACCCAAGGGTATGGAGCGGCTCGCTGACAACGTTTTCCCCGACGAGTTTCAAAGCGAGGTCGGATTCAGTGGCATGCCACGCAATGGCACCTGGAAACAAGCGAGTGGCCTACAAGGATAGGAGAAGTCATTAAAGTGAGTCAAATTGGCACTACTTTGACGAGATGAGAGACCGACCTCGCTGGTGGCAGTGACGACCACGCTCAAAATTGTCGTAAGATTTTTAGGCATGCTGACGTGCGATGAAGGAATGTTAGCATGTTAACGCCCAAACGCTATCCTATATATAGCTATTTGGCGCCCACCATCTAATATCGTATCTGTAATATCGTATCTGTGCCAAGTGACCTTGATTCCACTCTGGTTCAAGACCACGTACAACATTGCAAACGTACTTGGATATCAAGGGTCTGAGTATCCTGGTATATAACCTTGCTGAGATACCAGTCAGCGATGAATGAAGGGTCAGCGCAGGTTGCGCCGGGGGGCTTTGATGGATGTGAAACTCAGGGTCTTCATTGCTGAGCAACATATCGTTCTTTCTTTAATGTAATTGTTTTGAGATGAAAAATCAAAAATAAAGGAACTGTCATCAAGGTAGTGTTGATGACCCGTGTGGTTCAGGCGTGGCAAAAATCAGTTAGAATCACGCTGGTATGGCGTGTATGTATTTATTGCACTGATTATATTAAATTTTTGAACGGTAGTGAATGAAATCATTGAAAGACATAATACACCACCGACGCTCGTCATCAATTGACCCTAATCAACATCTTCATTGTTCTCCTCCGGACAGGTTTTGCAAACCTCTTTGAACTCCTTCTGGTACAAAATTCGGGCTTCACCTACATTTGCAAGGGGTTTTGCGCTGTAATCAACCTTGAACCGCTGGTAGTCCACCGTTTTTATCCATAGCTTATACCGATACATAGTGGAAGACACATACTTCCACTCATCGCCAAATTCCTCCTTCCAGGCCACTGCGGGGGGTCGACTGTGAGAGTCCTTATACCACGCCAGAAGTCGTGAAACCAGAACAGAAGAGGAAGGCCAGCCTTTCTTCTTGGTCTTTTCAAGCGAGGTGGCCGTTGTGTCCAGGGAGTTTGTATCCGTGCTCATAGGTGTTGGAGTAGGGCTCGCTGCCAACTCGTCCTCCTCCGGTGACTGTAGGAATGAATGATATCAATGACGCGCCCCGGAATGCCCCTTGAAGTTCACTCACCAGGTGGTCATCTCTTTGAGCATTTCGTTTACCATTATCTGTGCCGTAGTCAAACTCCGGTAGTTCAGAGAGTTCGCGTTCGCGTTTGACCTGAGTGATATTAGGGGATTTAGCAAATTTGCTGTTGACGACAATCACATCAGGAGATTCTTCCGCCGCGCGAGGCGGTTGAGCCTCAGGAGAGCAGCTGCGGACGAGAATGGTGTCTCGAATATGGCCGCCGTTTGTCTCAATCGGGGTTGATGTGGAGGTTGACGACACTTCAAGCTGCGTACTTTGCGTGGCACCCCAATAAGCGGGTACGTCTTGCTTGCTTTTCGATTTTGGCAAACCAAGCGTTCGGGGGTCCATGTTTGCCGACCTGACAACTATCTCCTTTTTGCTGGCGGGGAATCGGTGAGGAAATGTCACCATGGTTTCGTGCTGTTTGGAGTGTTTGGGCGAGGAATTGAGACTTTGAGAGTTCGGTCTCATATCAAGTTGGAAGAGACATGGTACAAACCCAAGTGTCAATCTTTTCATCCCAGAAACAAAGGGCACGGTTCCATCCAGGGCCAAGTGCCTTGGTGCATGCTTGCATGAGGAGGGGTGATTTGTCTAGGCTGGCCTTGGGCCAGTTGGCCAAATGCGCTGAGATAACCTTAGGTTCGGATTCCTAGGTTTAAGGAGTAAGCTTGCAAGTATTCGAACACCTTGGAACATATGACTCACGTTGAGCCAAAGGTAAATCACGACGACTTGTGCTTCGTCGTACTGGTTTGCTATACCCCGTTGAACCGCTTCATATCGTTCAGCTCGGTTAATTTGGATTTTTGAGACAACTGAACTGTCCAGACGTCGTCCAAGTGAGTTGGCAGATTGGGCCCACTGGTGTGGCCGTGGTAGACGCGGCTGTGCTGGCGCTGGAGTAGGGTCAGTAGACGTGCTCGGTTGTGGTTCCACGGGAGGCAGCAACTGATTAGAGTTGGTGGCTACAGCTTGGCGAGGAACTGGAGGGCCAGGTCGAACGTGTTTGGGGCATGGGCCCAGACCGTATTCAAGGCAGCACTAGGAAACACACATACGATCAAGCAACGGAAGAAAGCAGTAAATGAATAAGACGATCAACAAATACACAGTGAGCAACATCGTCAATGCAACTATACAACACTGAGACCATACTAACCGCTTGACAGTATTGATATGGGCAACCCTTGTTCCCATTGGTCCGGTGGGTACGTGCCGCTGGCCCACGGGAAGGTCGCAGACAGGGGTGAGAGCCTCTCTGAGTTCGGTGTGGGCCTGCAAGTGAGTTGAGCTGATTGAACGGAGTGAACTCAGATTGGCGACCTAAAAATGGATGTGCTTCAATCGCATTCCTTTTGACCGGTGGATTGTTTGATTCTTTGGTTGGTTTTGGTGGAAGAATCACCCCTGCAGGCGACATTCGGGGTCCCCAATCGGCTGTAGAAGAGACGATTGGGCGAGAAGCACCAGCGTGGATCAGCGCACGTTCGTGGTTGAGCTGATCACATTGCCAGGTTCGCCAATTGTGTTCGTTCCTTGGACGTCGTGGGCACTTGACCGAATAGTGAAAACACAGTTATGGTTAGTGTGAGATCGATCGCGAACTCGATCAATCCAATTTTGTTAAGACTGGTGACTTACATGGATCCGCCATGCGTCTTCAAGTGCCGCATGGTAACGGAGGGGGGTTTGGCATTCTGGACACAGAATGCCAACTAGGGCTCCAACCTTTGGCTCTGGCAGGAATCCTTCGGTAATGAACTGGTATCGTTCGTGGATTAGAGTGGCGACTACCATTCTGATTGCCGAGTTTCTGATTGCCGAGTTCTTTTTGACGAGGTCCAGATGGGTGGTCGAGAGTTGCCCATTGTTTCGTGAACATGATATCTGTGATTGTGAAAAGATTTGTGTTGTCCGCTTTGGTCCTGGTGAAACACTATGCTGTTGAGGTCGTTATTGAGTTCGTCCATCTTGGGTGTATGAAACAGAGAGATACGAGGGAGATATGGGTAGTCTGAAAGGTTGTGACAGGCTGGCAATATGACTGGTCAAAACATAACAAAGGGTTTTTGACGCATATTACAGGACGTGTAATATGCTACTATGTATGCTGATAGTGGGGGTGCTGTATTCTCAGAGTCTCAGAATTTTCTCATTCTCAGATTCTCAGGACAGAAACCCGGATCCTCTGGTGCTCCCACTATCGAAGATTGGATTAGTTCTCGGACCGGGTGAAGCGACGAGCGCTGACCTTTAGCTTTAACAGGTTAGTAACCTTTGCAATACTATCGAAGATTGGATTAGTTCTCGGACCGGGTGAAGCGACGAGCGCTGACCTTTAGCTTTAACACAGGGGAGGTTCATCAAATCCCTCTAAACGTGCGAAGCGGTTTGAACAACCTCTTGACTCGCCTTTGCACCAAAACCAGCGGAACAACATCCTTTCAAATACTATTGACTTCAAACCATCAACAAATTCACAGCTCTCGCGTAGGTCACATCATATTACGGAATGACAAGGCACGGCATGGTCTCACTAATGCATGGGACTCTTATGAGTTTAGTCGGCTCTGTTCGGCAAAAAGTGAGACAGAGAAGGGCGAGTATGCAGGCAGCTAACATAGTGGAAACACTTCTACCTCAAGGTTTGCAAAATTGACTGTAACACTGTCAACTGCGCAACAAAAATAAAAACCAAGAGTGACACTGAAATTGAAAAAGCAGCAGAAGATCTCTCTGTGATACGAACAGCTTGTTGGGGAACCCTATAGCGTTCACACATCTACATCGAAATAGACACAAGAAGGTCCTCATCGCTGGAGTCTAAGAGGTTTGATGTAAAAGTTAAGATCAAAATATAGATCCTATAGAGTCAGGGATGATTCGCTTTTCTTGCTAGATTACTGGAAACACTGGTAGCCTGATACTCAATATAACATTTATCAAGTACGTCAATCAAAACCCATCAAAATGTGTGGGACTATGAAGCAAAAGGCATTGTCGCCTGCCGATCGTGAAACAGAGGCAGAGTTTGACATTATGCGCGGATTTTGAAAATGAAGCGCTACCAATATACGAGGTTTGTCAATTCTCGGAATTGCCTGCATCTCCGGTCCTCGTCCTCCAGAGTGTTTAGACCAAATTGAAACATCTGCTTTCTCTAGCCTTTAGATCGAGCCTAGACTATATAAAACAAGCAAGCATGGTGATATCTCTAGAGTATCTCCCTCAGTGTGGTTTTCTTACAATTAATAGCCTTATATTCTAATTTTTCTATCATGATACGTTTCTTTTGGGTTATTCTTCTACATCACTGTATCATCACGACATGCGTCGATCCTACGTTGGGCGGCGATCTCCTCTCAGGAAAAACACCAACCGAGCTTGGTGACCAAAATCTGAACCATGAGCTTTCTACACCAAATCATCTCGATATGTTCCCGGAAATCGAAACTTCTCTCGATGGATTCAAAGTAGAGTCTGCGGGTGGTTCGAGAAGTGGAACGGAATCTGGGGAACTCCCGTCGGCGACATCGGATGAGATCCGCGATACCCAAACGTCCGCTTCTGATAACCTCGAGGGAAGCCAGCGTGGAAATTCAGGGACGGATTCCGATGAGTTCAAAGGGAAAGTGTCCCAGCCGTACGGAAGGGATGGTGTGCTCGATCCCTCGTCTTTCAAAAAATATCCTCAAGGACATATAACTCGGAAACAAGATGGCTTGAGGCGCTCACGTCGAAGGCCTCTCCCATATCCATATGCACACCCCAGTAAAGGCCCACTGCCCGCGAGCCCGAACGGACATATTTATCATCCTTCGACTACACTACTCCCGCAGCCTGACGGTTGGATTCCTTTCTTCTCAAATTATCACGATGCAGCAACCTGGTTCAGTCATGGTTTGGGCTATGGAAATTTCCATACCTTTCCGATTGGGACGCTCTGGGAGCCCTCAAGACATTTGCCTGAAAGCTCTCTCAGTGCTCATGAAATGCACCCAGATATCATTCCACAAACAACATACCCACAAGTTCAACCATACAATGTCCACGGGCGATCTGATCATGCTACAGTATCATCAAACTGGGCTCAGCGGAGTCTCCATGCCCCACCCTTGTAAGACCTTCCAAACCTATAGAGCCTTTGAATTGTGCTGATCAACTTTTCACCTCATGGACACAAGCGTCAGCGTTAAACAAGACAAGTCACAAGCCAAAGGCATTGTAACAGCGCACGAGGTTCAAGTGAAAGAGGAAGAGCCTCCCAAGGAAGTCGAACCAACGGAGTGAGTTCAATCAGAGTCAAGGTATGCTATGATGCCTGACGACATAACTTTCAGTACGAAGGGAAAACCACCAGTGGACGCGTCGTCCAGCTCAAAAGAAAAATATGCGCACATTTTGAATTCAGGCGCCACGGCTGAAAACTTCATGCCACAGTCGAGCCAGGAATCGTTACATCCACATGATGATGAGCATCCCAAAATCACAGGTTCCGATGTCGTAGATCCACACAAATCTACTGGAGAAAGCCCTAGAAATACAGGTGCTAGGTAAATCATTCCATCTAAAGATGATATCTGGAAGACATATCTGATATTTTCTGGACCAGTTTCGCTCCTATGACCGATCTCAATCCAGCAGTAAAGCCGAGTTTCAAAGATCAAGAACTTGAGAAGCATGCAACAGAGACAGTTCCGTTACCCGTTCAGCAGAGCTCGTCAGTAGCTCTTCGCTTTGAAGTGACATTGTCTATATTCTGATCTTCTTATCTCGTCCCATCCCATCCATGCAAAAAAACGAGCCAGAGATCCGATTTCCCAAAAGGCTAGTTATAAAAGCATAGCATGGGCAGGCATGAAATCGAAGTCTGAATCGGACTTCAAATCAGGAACAAGTGTAGGCGACACCTCACGAATAGAATCACAAAAGTCTGATCAAATTTTGGAAGGGGATCAATCCTCTGATAGACGTAATCATGCGCAGGTCAAAGCGGTTCAGAAACATATTTCGGATCAAATAGGAAATTCCAGAATCAATATCCTAAAGGGTGCAAAGGAGCAAAAGATTCTACGTTCCAATCCTGTTTTTCCCGATGAGGGATCCAAGTGTGTTACTTTCCTCTGGCTATGAAAGCGGAAAACTGTTAGCCAAAATTCGACTGACATTTGCCTGGTTCCTCTGATGCTTTCGCGTTTATTAGAATTGATCCGCTTTCGGAACCAGACAGTCTCGTCCAAAATGCGAAAAAAACGATCTCAAGCGAATGGATAAGAGTCCAGAAGAAGAAGAATAGAGGAGCACAGAAAACTTCAATGAAATCCAATGCTTTGTGGGATACGCTTCCATCTCAGGGTCAGGACACATCAGAGGAATTGATGACTCAGGACAGACAGCTATCCACGGATGACAAAGAGTCCGCTGCGTCGGAGGACAATGTGATCGAGCCTCTGAAAAGCCAAGCAACTTCAGAAGTGCACGAGGCAAAGATTCCACAATCGAACACCGTAGAGATGCATGGGTCCGAATCCGCCAAAACCTTTTTCGAAGATTCTACGCCGGTCGACTTGCACGAAGGCTTCTCCGGAGAGTCTTCCCCTGCGAAAGACAGAACCGATATACTCGCGACCTATGAGGCTCAGAAATCAGCACGCTCCAAAAGGAAAAAGAAGACAAAGAAGACAAAAGCTGTGACTTCTATCAGTACGGCTGAGCCCGAAAAGGAGATTGAGATCTCAGCGCGCCAGAATGATCTTCCGACGTCAGAAAACTCTATCAGAGGCGAAAGTTCTGTAACCCCCTTAAAGTCGATAATCTCCAAGGTCCTTCGATATGATGATGTTGAACATATCGTGCAGATACGCATGACCAAAGAGGACTTTCAGAGAATACGTTTGGCACAGGATGACTTGGTGTCATCAGGCAGGTTCCCAGAAGTCTTCGGCGAGAAATGGAGGGAATCGATTAATGATTTAGGCCAAGATCAAAGAAATCCCGTTGAAGTATTCAGAAGGATGAGCTCTCTAAGAGCTCAATACTCACAGAAGGCGATCTTGATGCACTGGGGCCTCTACAAATCTAAACTTAGTCCACGAGCACAAGAAGCTTGTCAGCTCTTGAAAGTGGATCAAGAATGGCCAACGTTTTATAACGTCGATTCCAAATATCTTGTAACTTCCAGGGCGAAATTAGAAGCCCTTGATTTACGCGAAGCACAAGATCTTCGTGAATTGTTCTTTGATAGAAATCGCGATTCACGAATATCGACTCTCTATTTGATGGCCACAATGCAACCTCACGAGAAGGTTTTCACGGAATCAGAATTTGTATCATTGTCAGAAAATGGTGGATCAATTCCTGTACTACTACAAATTTGCAATCTTCTCGAATTATCAATTCCGGAAGTCATTTGGAAAACATTCACAAAAAAACAAGTTTTGGAAAAGCTGAACGGGATGAAGAACATCATGGTGGGAATCTTTCAAATGGAAAAGAATCTAGAATTTAACGTGGATGATTTTGTCTGGGTCGCATCAAATACTCGAGCATTCATTCTGAAGTCACGGATCTCCGCCACTTTCGAAAGAAGATTGAAATATTTGGCTAAATTGGCTGATAAACACTTACCACCTATACCGGCAGAACAATGGATGCCTGAGGAAACCCATCTCAATTGGGATGATCAAAAGATGGGACAAGGAGAAGCATTGATCGCTGCTCACTTTAGCTTGGATTTGAAGAACCTGGCCGTCTTGAAGCGTTTGATCACACATCAGAAGAAACCGTCACCTCCAGGGGTGGGACACGTGATAATTTGGCCAGGGAAGGCTGAAGATAGAATGAAGCAACAGATCACTGAATTTTACAAATTCCACGGTATAAATTTGTTGAGTAACTAAAAGCTCATGCATGCCACATGCAGATGTACGCGTTGATTGGATAGTTATGTACACTTTTTTCGCGTCGATAAACAAGGAGGAGGGCCTTATATGATTGATTCTTTTGTTGTATCTCATTGCGTGTCTTGTTTCGGCGTTACCCAAATAGATGAGTCTTTACATTGATTATTTGGTTGTATGAGGTAGAAGAAAACGCGAGTTTAAAGAGATACAAAACTTACTTGAAGGCTTAAAGTTTCTAACCGATTTGTATTCGGGTTGAAATGATGTCCTCGGGGGTGGGTCAGGAGCTCAGAAAAGATATCAATTCTTACTGATTAACTTAGTGCGGATGGATTGAAAAGTAACATTGTTGAAAGATATAAAAACACACAAACCCTCAGACAACGAGATTAGTGTTATACAAGGTAAAAGTTTTGAAACATCTGAGCTTTGAAGATATCAATTGATAGAGGAAAGGGTTAGTAATGTGTTTAAAGTCGAATCTCTGTCAATCGGATTGCTTCCATTACTTCATGTTGGATGTTGGTAACCTTTTGAGTTTCCAAATTCAAGCGTGACCTCAAATCATGATTTTCAACCTTGAGTTCTTTGACCATAGATGTCAACCTGAGAATCTATAGAGATTTCATTGGGATGATTCAGTTCAGATGCAGTTGAGTGTATTTTGTCTGAACTCTCACTTACCTCAGTTTCTACTCCCCCTTTGCATGCCATTGCTCCGTCTGCTCCTACCACAATGTCTTTCGAGATAGGGTCTCTGTCATCCCGAAAACTGAACCTGAACTGAGGATCAGGTTCGACGATAACCTAAAAAATACAATACCCAATAAGAGGCTCCCATCAGTGTAATCCAAATTAGATAGATAGGCCCATGAAACAGGGAAAAAGTAAAAAAAAAGCATACAGGTTGAATGATCTCATACTTGTGCACAACCGTCGTTTCTTTCTCAATGTCAGGCAAGACGACCGTCGAAGTAGGTGGGCAATGATGTTCAGCGAGTTCAGAGTCTTGAAATTTCGAAAGATGATGACGAATCATGTCGTCAATTTGAGCATGATCCAGTGTAACGACCTGTGTGGGATCCTCAGCGCTCTACAATTCCCTGCATCAACTTACTGCATATATTGAAAGTAGGATTGGATAATGAGAAAATCTCTTAACTAGAGCTCCTAATCGGTACGTGTTAGATTCGTGTCGAAACCCCACAGATTGGGTGATAGGCTATGTGCAAACAAAAATTATCAGAATTAAAGTCGAATCAAATGATGAGATGAATTCCTTTCATTCACTCACTTGAACATGGTGTCGAATATGAGTGATATGTCTTTCTCGAATCTTGACCTTTTGAATTTCTTCAACTACATGATGATGGACTTTTTCTCGGATCACAGCTAAATCCAAAAGCGACGAAAATATGAGTCATCTAATGTTCTTCACTTCGCGTCACCCATCGAATCACTCACGTTTCAGGGTTTGAAAGTCTTCCTGCGCAATTGTTGCGCCTTCAATCCTCAAGTTACCATCCCTATCATACTCTAGACGAGCGCTGATATCACGCTTGACTTCAGCAGTCTTTTCACTGTCCTCACCATTTTTGCCACTCGAGTCAAGATTCCCGGGCCCACCGTTCAGTCCAGCGAATATGTGCGGTGGTGATTCGGGGATCGGTACGGCTTCTTCCTTTGGCGTAGCCTCAGTGGGAGAAGCTGGGGAAACGCTAGCTACCTCGTCAGCCTCAGCCTCAGTCGAGATCTCGATAGGCTCTTCAGATTCTTTGATAGACTTAAGCGACGTGATATCTGATACTTGATTGTCTTTCTGACTCGGACTAGGAGAAGTATCATTGATTGAGATCGCTTCAGTCTTCGCTCTTGTATCCGGTTTGTGTAGTCGATTCGGATGATGAGAAGCTTCGGAGGCTTTGGGGTCGGCCAATGAGAAACGCCTTTTGAAATTACTGAAAGCTGATTTCATAGTTCCAGTTCGGTTTGAATCTTTCTGGTTGTGTCTCAATGGTATTTTTTCTTTGTAGATGAGATTCGAAGGTGAAATCATTCAGGTTTGAAAGGTGAGGAGGTATAAGTTGAATTGATTGTGATGTTCACCACTTTTGTCATATTGGATTTGCATAATCGATTATCGTTCGCGCTAGATGTGAAGCAGAGATGAAAAATTTCCTTTATCAGTTCCTTTCGTTTTCTATTATTGAGTCAATAACAAGCATCGACCTTTTCCGGTCAACACAATTTGACTCACGATTCCATTTGTCTTCTCCGGAGCTCTGTTTAGGAAAAATTACCTGTCGTCAATCGCCTCTTGTTTCATCTCGCTTTTGTTCGATTCCATTTACCATATTTGGCAGAGTCGAATTTATTCCACTGTAGCATTTTTAAGCAAACGAGTTCCAACTTGATGTGTTGGTGTGTACAAATCCGAGGATGTTCATGAACAATCTACAACCCTTGATCAATTTACAAAACCATCGGCTTAAGGTATCGCTTGCACACTTTCGATCATGGCCCAATCAGGCATCAACTATCATACATTTTGTATCAATGCTCAGCCTCCGCTACTACAGCTAATTATAACAAACGGCTCACAAGCTCTGAGGCATTATATGCAAAGCGTCAGAGTTTGTTATGAAAACAGTCGTCGATATTCAACGTACGGCTTCTAGTTCAAGGACTATGGTAGACACGTAAGGAGGTAGACATCAAGGTACATTATCAGTACATCATTGGATGCCACTTCAACTCACGCATGATACGGTATGTACTTTACACTTCGGAATCAAAGAATTGAATGCTTGAAAGGCCGAACAATGGTGTCTCTGTCTAGGTCAATCAGCCAGTAAATCCTCCAATTCACTCGTCTCCTTTCCATTCTTTTCCATCATTTCTTTCAAGATATCAAGTCCTCCTACAAGTTCTCCGTTGATGATCAATTGAGGGAACGTAGGCCAAGAATTGAGCTTCTTCATCCCTATTTGAAAAGCCATAATCAGTAAAGGAGTTTGATGTGTTGAGCTGATTGTGCGAATCTAACCTTGTCTGATGCTGTCATCTGTCAAGATATCAAAGGTTGTAAACTCAATGTTTAAATCTTTCAAGATCTTAACAGTCTGCTGTGAAAAGCCACAGCGAGGAACTTGTGGGTCACCCTGGAGAAGATGAATGTTGAGCTGTTTGGACTGATGTTTGAATGATATTTGTATACTAACCTTCATGAAGAGTACAACTTTTGACTGTTGCATCAGCTTCCGACATCTCGCAAAGACCTCTTCCTCACTTTCTTCACCATTTGCAGATTTATTCTCGTGAGATCTATGGTAAAAGGTTCGCTGATTAGTAATATCACCCCAAGCGTCTATGTAGGGTGAAAGGGACTAAATTCTTTACCTTGAAGCGGTAGAGGCCATTGGTGGTTCGGGTGCTTGAGTGGTATTACTGATAGGTTCATATCTCCCATTAGTAGAATTTGAAGATCGATTAGAGTCAAGTTCCAAAAACTTCTCCACATCGGCTTCTAATCGATCTACTTGAGCTCCCACGATCTTTGTCAAAAGTTTATGCCCTCTGAGTACGATGAAACAAGGTACTGAGGAAACATCGAATGATTCGGATACTTCTGGTAAAGTCTCGGCTTCGATCTTGATCGATAAGGAGTGAAGAGGTTAACTTGAATCAATCCCGTGATCACATTCCATCGATTGAAGACCAAGGAATATGGCGAACTTCTAGGAATATGGCAGCGTTCCATTTAGCTGCTAGAGATCTAGAATCCAAAGAAATCATCTGAGCTACATCATTCGAAAGTATTCCCGATTTGCTTTGAATGAAATATGTAATTACTCACTTGAACCTCGGATCGGCGGTTTTGCAAATCTGAGCCCATTCCGCTCGAAAATAAAGCACGCTGAGCTTCTCTAAATCGACGCTGAGAATCTCTTGAAGTTGAGCAGGACTCTCAAGTTTAAAATAGTTTGATAAGGGTGTCAAGTCGTCGTTAGTCATCTTGATTCGTTATCTGAAGAGTTCTAGAAGAAGCGTTCATAGAATTGTCCCCTAGCTCCGCAGACCGGAACCTTGGCCAATCCGTTTCCTGAAGAGTACCGTGCTTATCTGGACTCGAAAGATAGATGTACCGGCCCACGAGTATTTGCCGGGCCCGTCACATTCCGCTCAAACTTGAAGCTCCCCCCTGACATCATGAAGTTCGCGGAGTTGTAGCAGCACTGCGTTGTCTGCGCTTTGGGTGTTAATGTAACGGGATTGATCCTCAAACCAAGGTCTGCTATTCTTTGCAAATATGCGAGATAGCAAAAGGGTCTTCAAAAGATCCTCGTATGTATGTCTGTGTTGGGAAAAAAACTGCTCATGAGAGTCATCCGAAAGATTTCGTCAGCTTAAAGAACTTCACGCATCATGATTCATGCAGCATGCTATCCACCATGCTCAAGGTTGTCAATATTCAAACTATGTATACTACCGAGTTTTATCTCTCACGAAGCGCCTTCGGTCCACGACCGCAAAATCAGGTGATGACACGGCGTCACTGGCATCATACTTATACAGTCATTGGTCAAGAGTCACTCAATTCAAAAAAGCTTGTCACACCCCGCCAACCTCTGCCAACCTGCTCGAGTTCTGCGGGCAAAGTTGGTCAAGCTTTTGTGAATTTACGGTACTCAAAGCTACATAGTTACACGTATATAGTTGTCGTATATACTTTTTTTTGGCGGGGAAAATAAAACGAATATACTTTTGGACTCGTTTTCCCCGCCAAAAAAAACTATGTAGCAAAAAGTATGTACGCGTACATACTTGCTTTGAGTACCGTAATTGACTGTACTTTGACTGACCATGAAACCTCATGAAATTGAAAAACATCATCAGTCGCCTCCCATGCCATTACGTGAATGATGAAGATACAAAGTTGCTGAGAATCTACCGTATCTACTAAAACGTTGTCTTTAATTGGCTTTGATCTCGAGTTTTGAATCTCCATACAAAAAGTTGATCGAAGCACGCTCAGATTTGCAAATTAAGAAAAAGCATCCGAGTGCTTTCGTTGCACAGATAAGTAATTAAAGGGATCAAAGTGACCAATCTTTCATTCATTCGCACCTTCTGGTTCCTTAGCGTCGAGACCCTTCAGAAGAAACTTCGATCCAAGATCCTAAACTTCAATCCCTCGAAACTTTCAACATATAGGCTACAAGTGGGGAAGTTTGGTTGCCCGTACAACACGATCACATTTACTAGGTACCTCAAGAAGAAGGAGCTCGGAAATTTTCTCAGAGATTGAAGGATGCCCAAGGCTATTGAAGTTAAACGATGGTGGTCAGAACAACCTCCAACATTTGGGTACTGGGGGCCTTCGTGAGTTGCAATGATCACATCATGGGAATTTTTGAATGATCGATATAATGACATGGGGCAAGACTTCTTTAGGAGTTCGTCAATAGACTGGTGGTATGTGATTTTTGCTTATAAGAGATATGAAGGGATTCATTATTTGTGAAAATTGAATTTGACTAAGGATTTGTTTTCATTTTTGATCTTCATCGATATTGATTTTAGCGAAGAAAATTACGCCATCACATCCTATGTTGCCGAGTTTGCCAATACGCTCTCTAATCTGGTCTTTCGTCAGTCTTTTCATCTCTTTGTCCAATGAATTGATCTCAATCAACATAACTGACTGCAATCTCCTGTTTTGTTTTGAAAAAGTGTTTATTGCGGCTTAGTGAGGAACATCTTGAACTCATCAATCTTTCAAATAAATCAAACCTGAAAACTGCTCTCATTTTTCTCCTTTGGGTTTCCTCGATATCTTGATGCGAGATAAAAATAGCGGAATACAAAAGTCAAAAGATGAGAAACTTCCGTTTACATTCATCTTGTGTCATTTAGGCGTACTCTTGATAGGTTTCGGAAGTTTTGCGTAAGTACAAATCCTTCAAAATGTAAAGTAATGATTTACGCAAAAGAATCCCTGACCGAAAAACAATGCATCTTACCTTTTTCGTAGATTCCATGCCACATTAAGATACGACATGCAACTTTTAGATGAATTACCAATGACTTATTCTACTACACTTTTAGCCTATTTAGCTTTTAGCCGTAGTTCAAGTCAAACTTCTCCAACAAATCGGGTTTATGATCTTATTCTAAATATGCTCTTAATCCTTTACGCAGTCCTTGTGACAGTTATCTATTTAGTTTGGCCTAATCCTACCTTTCATCATACATCTTTTGCGGTTTTGATCTTGTGAGACTTTAGAATTCAATTTTCTGGTGTCTAGTCTAGAATTTTGGTGGTTGACTCTTTCATTTTCTCAAATATTCAAAAATTAACAGGTCAACTAATGCCAAGGTTGCTTACTGGATTCGAACATTGCCAACTAATACTGCGATTGAAAGGAGACATAAACAAGATATCAAAAGATGTGAATTTACAGGTTTCTGGGTTTTCTTATTTTCATTTGGGATTTGGAATATAGATAATCTGTTGGTATTTTTTAAGATAACTCAAAAATCTGGGTTTATACTAATTCTAATTATATACTTTTTTTGGGTGTCTTTTAGATTCTGTGATCAATTAACAAGATGGAAAAAAGGTTTAGGGTTTCCCAATTCTATCATTCTTGAATTGCATGCTTGGTGGCATTTAGGTACAGGTATTGGAACTTATCTTGTAAGTCAATACGATGAGATTCCTTTTCCAAATAAATCAAAAGATCTGATGAGATTCATGGCTATTTCAAAGATGATTCTGGGAGTTCAATTGTTATCACTAAATGATCAATTTGGTTTGGACACTTATCACATGAAATGGGTTTACAATGGTTATTGGCCTTATATTGCAAGAAAAGAAAATCACATCTCCAAAGGAAAGAAATCCTAGACATTTTTCTACAGAGGGAGTTGTTATTGCAGTTGCTTACATAGCTTGGTATCGTCATATATAATCTGAACTGTATTTTAATGTTTTTGTTATCTTACATCCATTCTTGCAAACCTTCTTTGCCTAGCACAAAGTTGAGCGTTCATAACCTCATGTTTCACATGACAATACTTCAAAGTTGTAGGCAAAATCCTGTAATGTTTTGGGAATCTCAAAAATCATTGCTTGTGTTCCCAAAAGCCTGCCCTGGCAGTACGCTGAACTACATTACCTGGAAGCAATGATAGATACAGGTGTGGATAGGTTCAGGTCACAAGAAGCCTGTATACTGAGTGATGGAGAGAGAGACACAGAGATTTCATCTCCCATCCCACTCTGCCACCTCAAACTCCCCCTGTCCTGCATGTTGAAGATCATACAAGTCTTCTCTTATGGATCTCAAGTTTTAAAAGGCCACCCATCACCCAGGGTTGAAAAGTCTTTCTTCTCAGGTGCTGTCCTTGTCCAAAGGGTAAAATAAAGAGAGTTGGCTGGAACCATCCCTCATACATTACGGCTAACACCTAACACCTGATGGGAAGAGTTGGTAGTAACTATATGTGGTAGGAATGTCTTAAGAAGACAAGGACAATATATCCTCAGGATATATGTTTCCTACACACAGAGAGGTAAGCACTTTGGTGCACTCAACTTGTAACATGCCTTACAAGGAATGGATAGATGTTATGGTACAGTGTCTGGGATTCTTGGCAATGGAAGTGAGGTCTGATGATATTGTATCTTCCTATTAGTACAAAGTTTTATTTTAGATTTGTGACAGGTGTATAAAAGATCTTTCACGGGTTCACCACCACTGTGCTCATAACAATGGACCTTTGCAAGTGAAATTTATGTGTGACCCCTCAATTTATTGAATCATAATTGTTAGGGGGACAAGCTTCAGAAGAATGGCTTTACTTTTCCTTTATATTGAGCCTTATGATCTATCTTTGTGAAAAACCCCGATATGGATTAGAATTCAATGGCACCATGTTAAGCCACTGTTTTGTGAGTCAAACTAGATTTTACTACCTACAATATGTTCCCTTCCAGATGACCAATGGAATTTACCAAGATCACTCAATCACTTGATCTCCTCTTGGAATAAACACCATTAGCATTACATCTTCATATAACCTTGTGTATCAGGGTTATGCAGATCTGAGGACACAAGAAACTTCTGAGCTTTTAAACTAATCCCTTACCATCACATGCTGAAATAGTTGAGCAGACAGAATTCTTGACAGTTTGGAGTTATGGCTATGCACATTTGCAAATTAGTTTTGAGTTGCTAAATGAAGGTCTTTAATCTGGGATCCTGGTATTTTCACCATCCCCAACACTGGTACCACTGCAAAACACGTTAGATTCTGACCCCTTTGGATGCCAATGCACAGGCTCCAACACTAACCACTGCAAAGCCAAATTGCTATTTTTGAAAAACAAACTTCACAAGCTTTTGTAGTGCAGTGACCACTACTGTTTTGATTTTTCACTGAGATTTTTGTAGGGAATACCAAATTCATTTATAAAGTGTGGGTTTTTCAACCACTGACCACAAAAACCCATGGTCAAATCTGCTGCCAAACTGGGCCTAAGTGTTTTGATCTCAACACTCAGAAATCCCCTCATTCAGATAAATTGCTTTGGTAGATATCTTCATAGAAACAGGATTTCCAACATGATTAAACTGTTGTAAGAATCCAAAGAAGCCTTCTGGTCAAGTTCTTTGTTCATTCTCATCTTCAAAAATCAAACTGAGACATACCTTGGTCAGGAACCTGAAAAGATGCCCATGAGCTACCTTGTGTGATTGGTATGATTTGAGGGTCAAACATTTGTCTTATTAGCAACAAAATTGCTACAACAATGCCTGTTTTGCAATTTGACTTAAAGATGTGAAAGGTATGATCTTCAGAATCTGCATTGTTCAAAAATACAAGACACCCACATGTTTGATATGAAAACCTAGACTGTTGACAAAAGTGAAAAAAATCTATTGTGGTCCACTTCTGTGATATTATATATTGGCAAGATTCTTGCTGTCTTTGAATTCAACAACACACAGCCAAACTAGCAAGCAAGCACTGAAAACCACCCCAGATTGTCCTATGTAACTTTGGAGATGTTCTTCAACACACCTGGCTTTCTAATGCTGTCATCCTATTGTTGCAGATCTCCTCAGCGCTGGACTTGGTCTCATTGCAAATACTCACATATCCATTTTGTCTTTCCAAAAACCTTGGGTGAGGATCCAACAGAGGTTGTAGGAGAAGTTGGCTGTGTAGCCATACTAGAAATTGTCAGATATTCTTATTATAATGTCTAGAGGGATAAGGTCGTATACTTCTTAGTTTTGATTCCAAAAGCTTATTTGTTTTGAGCAAAAAAAACTGAAAAAGTTGACAATTTGTGAATCATGCAAATATCACCTTTTTGTATGTTACCAATGTAACTGATATGAAACTGGAGAGAGATGTTCTCAAAGATTTTTGATGGAAATTGACAACACCCAAGATTTTTGGGTATGAATTTTATGTCGGTAGGTTCAGGGGAGCTTGCCGGGGTCCTCTTTGATTGGCATTGCTTTGTAGACTTGCATAGATTTAAAAGCGTGAGGAGTTTGGATTCTTGAAAGTATACCAAGCAGACTGCTCTCGATTGTGTATCCTGAGTGATAAATGATATCTTTTTATCCTTCTAAGCCTCAAGATGTCTATCGGTGACACAGATGCTAGGACTAATGACCCATTGAGATTTTTGTTGGGAAGAGCAGCGGGCTTGTGTTCCACTGAAACTCATCAACATCCTCATCACCTTCACCATCATCAACATCTTCCAAGACTTTTGCTTATAAATGTTTTCTTTCATTGTACCAGCTATTAGATGTCAGATGTTCTGTTGATCAAACTTTAGTATTGATCTTCATATTTTCATCAACTCTGAAGTGGTTTGTTTTGAATCTGTTTGGTAATCATTCTAGATTTTTAATTCGTGAAACTAAGCCTAATGCCCACTCACCCTCCAGCGAGCATTCGAGTATGTAGTGTCGATCAAACTTGATTTGGGTGAAGTCGAGTGGAGTTCTTTGTAGATTTGCAGATTTCTGCTTATTGTAAAGTGAATCGATTTCCGAAAATAGCTTCATACGGACATCCTTTGATTGCTCAAGAAGGCAAAAGACGGATTCTTAAATTGTTATTGATCTAAACTTGACTAAGCTCCCCTTACGAGCACGCATGAGCTTAATCCTGCAAAGCTTTTCATCAATTATCCGCTCAACTCACAACATCACTTCAATTGACAAAGAGATGATGGTGTGAGGATAGTCCATGAAGTCCCTGACTAAGCTTACAGCAGATGTTCAACTGCTCGCTCCTTTTCCATCTTGGTAGGACGGTTGATTTATGTTTATAAGCCATGAACGGCCGAGATGATTCGTTTATCGAGACGGTCGAGTTGGTATGTTGTATTGTACACTTCTCGCAGTTCCATTCTCGCCAAATGATTTCGGTTGAGTTGGAGGTAGAGTCCATGATGGGAGCATGCTTCGGTTCATGTGTTGTGAGTTTGGGCGGAGAAGGTTGAGATTCGATTGGGTTGGATGGTGAAGATCATCTGATAAGTTACATAAAATGCTGAGTAATTTACTCCACACTTTCTGTTTTGAGTACAATTATACAAAATTAAATACAGTTGAATTGATCATGTGGTCAAAATGTTAGAGGAAAACAAGGGCGATGGCGAATGCCTTTGAGCTGTGACCTGTTCTGTTTGATCGAGTGAAATGTTGAGTGTATGCAGTTTTTTGATCAGATGATGATGATCGATTCAGGGAAAACTATCGATAAAAAGGGTCAACTCAATCAAAACTATCTATGCAGTCTGTTTCTTTAACTACCCATACAAAGCATTGATTGATTGATTGATTAAAGCACCCTTGTCCATTTTACCATTTTACCATTCTCATTCATCAAAATACCAAAATACCATTCAATCCATCCAATCCAATCCACCCAAAAGAAGATGATCAACCAATTGCCACCTGATCTCATTCGGTAAATCATTCATATCATTCATATCTTCATATCCTCATTTCACTAAACTGACGAATGTCTTACATTTAACAGTTTGATTTGCAATCAGATCTTATTACTTGCATTACCATCTCAACCTATCTTACTTTTAGACCCTTATATCAAATTCACTATCATCCATCATCAAGCTCATCCGAATCATCAATTAACTTTATTGGAACCTAGTCCAATCATTCAAGCTCAATCCTTACTCAAATCATTATCTTTGGTCAACAAGGCTTGGAATTTAGAAGCTAGAAGAGTTCTTTGGTCACTCGGAATTCGTTTCGGTTTACCTAATTCATTTGGTTGGTGTCTTCAATCTTTCGATCCTTGATTTACTACAAAAGCACTTACTGAATTTCCATTTTCAACTTGACAGAAACTGTGGTCAAGTTGGTAGATCCCATTGGTACTTTCTTCGATGGTGGAGTAGAACCAAGTTGGATTTCGTCTCCTTCTGCCAGTCGACATCCTAGTCCTCATCGTACAAGGCAAGATAACTCGATCCAACATCTTACTACCCGACCCGACCTCAATCTTAACTTCCCTCTGACCCCAGATCAACATCATCAACCTCAGGCTCAACCACCCATCAGATCAGGTCGTCGTTCAATCAGTCTCAAACGTGAAGCTGGTGCTTATGTACTCGAAGCACGGATTTTAACTTATGAGGATGATTGTTTCCCTCCTTCGCCTCTATCGGAGATCAATCCTAATCAATTACCATCGAATCTGATCAATAACAATGGACGAGAAGGTCGAAGTTTATCCAAACGACAACATCATACACACCTCGAACGTAGCATTAGTCCACTCAGAGGTCGAATCTTAATCCAATCATTATCTCAAGCCTTTCATCGTGCTTCTATTGATTTATCACCAAGCTATCTTTCTTCGAAATCATTCTCTCTTTCGTCTCCTATTGAAAACGAAAATGATGATGAAGAATTCATCTTTGATCATCAACTTGATGATCTCTTCAATCCTGCTCCTTATATTTCTTCCATCTCTTTTTCTAAATTCAGATCTCATGGAATGAGAAGAAGTATAGGAGAAGGTCATCAGATTCGTTTTGTGACACCTGAACGACTGCTCAGGTTGATCAAGTCCACTAGATCTCGTTATACCAGTTTATCTGATTCGGATTCAGAAACTCATTCAGATGAATCATCTAGTTCATCCACCATGATCCGTAAAGGTCATCTAAATGCCGTTGGTTTTAGTGAATATATGGACAGCGCGATTTCTAAACCAGTTTTGGACGAAATCCTTTTGCGAGGTGGTGTGGAAGTGGAATACGAGATAACAGATGACGAAGATCTTGTTACATTGCTTTCAGAAGGAGTCAACGGAAGAGGTCGAGATCGAGTTCAAAAAGAACTTCACCCCATCTCACGACATGCAACTCCTCATCACACCTTACCTGCTCCAGTCCAAGAGTCATCCCAAGGTTATGCTCATATCCCAAGTTTAACTACCACGGCTTCAATCTCGAATCAAACTCTTCATAATCGTCCTACGCGAATCGAAAGACGAATGGAATCTAACTTGATCAACGAAACTCCTATTCAAGCCATTGACTTTTGTGGTTGTATTTCCTCAAAGTTTCGATCTGCACTTACTGACTTTATTCAAGATCATGCACTCTGTAATCCTTATGACCAGCAGACTGGTCTTCCGCAAATCCATCCTCATCCCTCTATTACTTCACTTCGATCTACTACTTTCCCTTGGTTGACCCGATTAGGATTGAGTCATGTGTCTATTCTTGCAGACCATGACTTGGCTGATCTCTTAAGTGGATTTCCTTACTTGGTCGATCTTGATTTAAGTTATACCCGTACTGGACCCATCGTGTTACATACCTTACAATTGATCAAGAAACCTCGGGATCAAAGTCATATCACTGGATCGGATTCGGTTGTCTCTAAAAAGCTTCCAAGCTTTCGTAGCCTAAACTTGGCCAAGTGTACTGGTTTAACAGAGAAAAGTTTGATGGGATTCCTTTGCGGGTACAGTGAAGATGAAGAGATTTGGGAAGACCCTCAGGCTTCAATTGGAGGATTAGAAGAACTATCATTATACGGTGATCAAACTTTACCCACCCCAATCTCTACTGATTCACTTGACCGATTCTTTTCAACTTGTCCTTGTTTTCATTCAGGAAGATTAATCACATTAGATTTATCTTCTATAAAACTAAACGAACTCGAACTAGAAAAAATACCAAAACAACCTAATCTCTTACAATTCGGATTATCAAATTGTTCAAACCTTTCACTTTTAAGTCTACAAAGTTTATTGAAAGAAAAGATGAGAATGTTAGAAGTCTTGAATCTTTCGTTGAGTTGTGGTCATGCAAGAGGTAGATTAAATCGATCGAATCCTTCGATCCTTTCACCTGGTTTATTACATCAAGATTTGATTAATCCTTTAAGTCAAGTTGATAGTAATGGTCAAAGAATTAGTAATTTGAGAGTGATTGAATTGGATCAGTTTACTTTGGAAGCACTTGCTGCTGGTGCTCAAGGTTGGAGAGTGGTCATTGGAAAAGGTCAGCGTGGATGGTAAGCAAACCTTGATTTCATTAACCCGAATCGGATCTAATCTTGTTAAGTTTTGTGGTACACATAGGTATGTAGATACGTTGGTTTCAGTCAATGTTTATGGGAATGATCCAAGTATGGAACCATATCGAATGAAAGAATGTACCTTACCTTTTACACGTGTTTTAAAACGTCATGAAGAATCTGAACTTTCGAATCATCTTGATCATCATAAGAAAACTTTAAACTTGGCTGAAAGTTTGAATAGGTTGACTAACTCTGATAAAGTGATTAGACATGATGAAGCAGGTTGGATGAGTCGGAAACTTGAAAGTCAGTTTATCCTTTTTTTTCTTATACACTTTTTTGGAGTTTTCTTGTTGATTTTTTTCGGTTTTGGTTATGTTAGTTTTAGAAGGTAGTGGATTTCTTGGTAGACAAGATGGTCTTTATGGATTTCATGCATTTCATAATTAGAAAACCAATCAATCATTCTACCCTTTTTCTTCCAACTTCAACCAACTTATGATTGTATTTTTTTTCTTTCATTTTTTTTTGGTAAATTGGGTTTGATCATTGGGGTTTTCTTTTGTTGAAGAAATTCGTACAATTTTTTTTGAAAAATGATTGGTTTTGTTCTCTTTGGTTTCATTCGTTCTTTCATTCGTTCTTTGCTATTAGTATCATTCATGATTTTCCCTAACCTTTTTTTCTGTAATTTTCTTTTTGGTTGGGGTTTCTTTGTATTTTGTAATTTGTAAGTTTTTAAGATAAGTGCATGTAAAATATACTTTTTAATTGTAAAATGAAAAATCAATTTATTATTCATATAAACAATAACTTTTTATTGCAATCTTTTTTTTTGATTGTTTTTACTTGGTCATTGAGTTTTGAAAACTGGTTTCAAGAAGGAAAAGGCCAATGAGACAAATCAAGATTGTAAATTGTAAAATCAATGGGTCTTATTGAATCAATGGATCAAAATGAGTCTTTGAATGATTTATAAACTCACATACGATGCGATCTACGAAGTGCTATGCTCTCAAGACGTGCCATGCTTATCTCTACTTTTTTGATTTCTTTACATATAAACATTTATACAACGTATCAAAGAAACCACATTTCAACTAAAGAATCCAGCAAAAGAGTTCCAACTATACACAAAAAGATAAACTTTGATCAAGAACAAATAGAAATTGAACTATCTGTAGGCATGACTTCTATCGGCTTAAGTTTGGCCGAGGTATCAAGTTGAGTTTTTTCTCTAGCTTCTGCAATAGCTTGAAGGTTAAACCTTTTACATTCTTGATCGTAGTCAGAAACAACACTAATACCAACCACATACTTATATACACTGACTAGGATGACCACTCTGGTAAGAAAAATCAGCCAGTTTAAACATCAGTTTCTTTTTGGGTTTTTTGTTCCAAACAAATTAGGGTAGGAGAACGGACTTGGCATTGTTAAGGTTAACTTTATGTTTCAAAGGTATTCTAGAATCCACTTGATCTTCTAATGGTTTTATTCCAATATACTTTTCCGAATTAAAGTCTTCTACAATCTCTCCAATCGATTTGATCACTTCTGTTCGATTTAAAGGTTGATCATGACACCTTATAATAGGTTCGATTCGGTATTGTAAACCGAAAGAAGTGGATGAGGTGGTTCGATCAAGACCAAAGTATGGCTTGAGAACTTGGGTGACAAGTGATTTGAAGGCTGTTAGACTGGTTGATGGACAAGTGGCTGTGACCGGTGTGACGCGTTGGATATATCTAAAGAGGTATTCAGAGTTATTAAGTTTGATGTTTTTGTTTTGTTTTGAAAGGTTATTGAAGAATGGTCGAGATGAGGATGTACCGTAGTCCGGAACCGGGTTGACCTTCGTGAACTTTTTTGACCATATGGTTTATGAATTGGATTGGGTTACGACCCTTTGGAAATCGAATGAAACCCACTATGAAAAATCCAAGATACGTATTCGCATAAGAATCCAAAACAAAAAATCATCAGTATATACTGAATCATAAAAGATGTGAAGGTTTAAACATCAGAAGTTTGGTTAGAAAAAGTGTTGGGATCTTTTTTGTGTACACTTACAGCATTCACAATCTGTTTTCTTATAAACGAACCGTTGAACTAGTGAATGAGTAGGTTTAGAAGCCTTAATATCTTCCAACTCTTTCTTAATCATACTTTCAATATCTTCTTCTTCCTCTTCTTCATTTTCATCAAGATGATCCATAGGTTCATCAAGATGATCAGAATCCAAATCAAACTCATCCGCAATCTAAACATAAGTAAATCCAAAACACAAAAAAATCAGAAAAGAATCTTCGAAAGGAAGATGAATCAGATAAAGAATGGTATTGTACCGATTGAAGTAAATTCAATAGTTCTGAACTTGCTGGAATTTCTTTTCCACGTGTACATGTAAAAAATATTCCAGGACCTGTGATCAATGCTTGGGATTGAGCACGTTGCTTGATTTATTCCAAAAAAAAATTCAACAGATGATTAAGTTGTCTTGAGTATATAGATTGATCGTTTGAGGAAATTGATGGTAAGTTTGGAAAGAAAGTTTTGATTTACTTTTAGGTATCTTGATCGATTAGCTGATTTGCTTGATTTAGTTGAACCTGACATCTTGCTTGAGGTTCTTCTAGTTCAATGGGTTTTTGGTATGGGCGTGGTTTTTGTTTGTTGGGGTTTCTTCAGAGGAGAAAGTGATTGTTGAGTTTGTGAGATTTTGCGTTGGAGATTAGGGACTGGGCGAGGTTTCGACCGACAGAGGATTTAGCCACCTCAATAAGCGCATGAATCCCCTGGAAGTCGACCGAAGCGATTTATGCAAACAGGAGGTGTCAGGATTACTCCTACAAGCCCAAGAGACCCGACTGTCAGATGATTTCACCAAAACCAGAGCGAGAGCAACCTGTGAAAGGTATATCAGGCTATCCAGAAGCGTTCTGCCATAGGCTTTTGGCTGAGGTGGGGGGGGAAATTTTGAATAGACAGCTCGTCTTAGGGAGGGTCATGCCTGTGCGCCACCCTATTTTTTTTAGTGCCATAAAGCTTACTAAAAAAAATAAGGAAATTTCATATTGATTGAACAGTGGCTTAGCTGTTTGCAACTCGCTTTCAACTACGGTTGAATTGCAATTTTGCAGAGCTTCGCCCAGTCCCTATTCAGTTGTAAAGAAAAGTCCGAGGCTGCATTAAACGGATTTAAAACTTGCCGGCTACAGACTGTTAAGACAGGCTTATCGTCAAATGTTTCATATGTTGATTTCGCTGAATGGATTCGTTCCATCATCCTCACTGGCTCAGCTCAATGGATTCGAACTTCTTGTTGCTTGATCAACTTACACAAGACATTAGAATTTCTGATGATCCCCAAGTTCAGCAAACTCAACTCTCCTTGACTCTGAGCGCCCACATACAAGCCGATCTCACTTTAGCCGGTCAACTCGGACATTGTCACGGTTCATCTGAGGCAGGCTGAGGGGTTGGATCATAGTGCTTGAGATGGGGCCTGGCCTTCTACAAACAAGCATCAGACTTGGTGTCAGTGAGATAACTAGATGATGTCATACAAACACCAATGCCTCAACACCAAACCACTCAAGATCCATCATCCAGTACCGTTAAAAGTCAGTAAGTGATCGTCAGTGAATTGATGCAAGTACACCTTGTCAATAGAAAAAGACGGGTGGAGGAAAGCACTTGGTATTTTCAACTTTCAAGTGATCCATGTGTCTTTTGACTCGAATTAACGCCACGCAGATCTCCCAAATAATAAAATTGATTTCAATTTTTGGATGAGAAAACTCAGAATGAAGATTTGGAGAGGGAAAGGAAATAAGTGGGCAACTATCGACCTACAAAATCGCATGGTGGATAATCTTATAAGACCGGATTTCTCACGTTTCATGATATCCCAAGGAAGATTGAGAGATGAAGTCTGTAAGTTATGATGAAGGAACAGCATGAAGAAATTCTTTCTTTGGCAATTGGCATCTTCTGAAAAGACTGATTGGTTTGGAAGTGAAGTGTCATTGGATCGACATCGAATCAGATTGAGCATACCATACCATAGCATAGATCGATTCCAGGATTAGAATATACCATCATAGTACACAGCCTCTGAGCCTTGGCCATGTTGATTCGGTTATGTAAGTGAGTGGCACATGCAGCTTGAACTGCGTCAAGGGAAGTCAGCTTACGGTTTGGTTTTGGTTGATGATGAGAAATCGGTGAAGTCGGTGATTGGAATGGAAAATTGGAAAAGAACTCATATCGAAATCCAAATCCAAATCCAAATCGAAACACAGCCTGCCAGACTCAGATTGTGCTCATCAATTCGATTGCCCACCAGTATTACCACTCGCCGCATTCCCCAACGATTTTTGGATTTTCTGTCTAGTTGTGTTTGGATCTACATTTTCTTGTGCTATAAAGAGTCAACAGAACTGCCGCCTCACTTTCATTCAAGCTTCTTCTACATCCTCTTGATACCTTGCCACTGCGATCCTCATCAATTACATCAGCTTTTTGTGTAAGAACTCAAAGGTATGTTTGAAATCATCACCTTTAAAATAAAATGAAAAAACCTATTTTAATCAATCTACTTTGATCTAATCTCTCAGCAATTTTCACCAAACTTGGAGTTCTTTTCATTGCCAAGAACTTTGTAATCGATCTTTGAACTCTTTCATTTTAAGGTATGTAGCTGAAATCTCTGAGTTGTGAGTGAAGTCATTGCCTAGGTGGGATTCATATAAAGCTCAAGAGATCTGATGATGAGCAGAAATGAAGAAAACATAATCTGATGGGATCTAAAATTCACTGACTGAACTTATCCCCCTGATTTTTTTTTTCATTTTGGACGGATTTCCTCCACCCCCTTTGTTAACTTCTCTCATTTAACTTTTGCATTACATCAAGTTCATCAAGTCTTTGGTACTTGTAAAATCTCATACGCCACTTCACGCTTCTACCTCTTCAAACGCTCTCGAGCTTTGGTTGGTTTATCGAATCAGGTCCAATCATTCTTGCTGGTCAAAGTGTTTAATCAAAGAAAAATTGACTATATATAAATCTACTTTTCCATCCTCTTTAACATCCAAACGATTTATCCTACTACTTTCAATAACTTATTTTCATATCTCTCGATTTCTAAACTCTTACTACAATCGCTTAGATCACATTATTCAATCATGAAATCTTCTCTTTGTTTAGCTTTCTCTCTTTCGAGTTTGATTTCATCTTCGATTTCTTTACCTTCACATTCTTACATTCGTAACGGTCATGCTATTGCTATGAAACATTCTCGTGCTCTTAAAGAGATGGTCACTCCTCTTGTTCAAAGATCTGTTGATGATCTTCATGAGCTTGAGAAACGTTCGATCAGACGATTTGGAACTCTTGAGTTTTCTCATCATCTCGAATCTCGATGTAAGCAAACTTATTTTCGAAACTTCACGTGGTTTATACAAACTGAGAGTTTTTGGTTTGGGTTTAGCTGATGGGGATGATGGAGACGACTCAGAAGACGGAGATGATGATGAAGACTGTGATGATGAAACAGATGATGGAGATGGAAACAGCACTACTTCAAGTTCGAACCATACCACTCAAAACACCACAGTTCCTACTTATACAGTACCAAAGCCTAAGAAAGTTCCTGCTTGGAATCCAACTGAACCTAAGAAAGAAACCCCTGCTCCTGCTCCTGCTCCTGCTCCTGCTCCTGCTCCGGCGACTAAGAAGGATAATACGCTTTCGGTTGGGGTGTCGGTTTCTGCTGGTTCATCTGGTGGGATATCAATTGGAGCTTCGACTTACAGTGGAAAAGCCACTTTGTAAGGCTTTCTGATTCTGTTTATCTTGACTTACACTTCTTTTACTTTATCTTATTCAATATCTGATCATTTGTTTTCTTTTTGTTCTTTTTTTTTTTTTGAAACTTTTTTTTAGTTTTTCTCAAGGAGGTGTAGCAGGTGCTTGTGGTACGGTTCATCAAGACTCGGATTATGTGGTGGCTATTGATTCTTCAATGTATGAAGGTGGTAAATACTGTGGCAAGACAATTGCCGTCACTCGAGTTTCTGTAAGTGCTTTTTGAAATTCTATATATTGCATCAGGTTATTGATTTATGTTTCTTTTTTTCGTAGACTGGAAAGACTATTCATTGTATTGGGGTTAGTCGATCGTTATGAAAAGTATGGTTTGTTGTAGGCAGTACTGATGAAGTTTGGTTTGACTTTTTTTGGTTGGTTTGATTTTTTTTGGGGGGAATATAGGCGGATGAGTGTCCTGGATGTCCTACTTTACAAAGTCTTGATCTTTCAATTGGTGCTTTTAATGCACTTGGAACCCCAGATGAAGGAGTCTGTAAGTCAACATTTTTGTCTTCTCTTTCAAAACCATTTCTACCAGTTGTGATTAAACTGAGATGGTTTGGTTTGGTTTTAATAGTCGATATCAAATGGGAAGTAGTTTCTTAGTTTCCAAGAACCTACTTTCTTCATTTTACATCTCTTTATCGATGATTTTTTCTCTCGGGTTCTCTTATGTATTGCTTGGTTAGTTATTAAGTATTTATCAACTTAAAGATGACTTTTTTTGGGGTTCATATGAACTTTGTATGTGCTAGTCTCACTACGACTCTTTACTTATTTCTTTTCTGCATCGTTGTTTTTGATTAGTTGTTGAAGTGTTTTTTTATTGTGGAGTTTGGTTAGACTTTTTCTTTTTTGGTTGTGTTGATCATTAGTACTTTTTCTTAAGTATATCTATGTGTACTAGTTGCATTAAATGCCATTCATTTTTTTGTTTTTTTTTCAAAAACCTGTTTTGGTTTGCTTTGTTGAACGGTTTAACTTTGGAGAACTGGTTTGATTGGGTTTATACTTTTGGTCTTTGTTTGCAAAAACGTGATTGGATCATTTGATTGGTTTGATTAAGTTGACAGTGAAAGTTAAGTAGTCACATGGGACAATGATTGGGATTACACCACACATTTGATTTTATTCTCGGATAGAATTTGCACCACGTGACGTATAAACCTACTTGCAGTATACCCAAGAAACTTTTTCAGTCTGATGTATCCATGGACCATAAGTGAAGATGATGAAAACCGTATTGCAAACAGCTTGCAATTCCATCCTAATGTAAATACATATCTTCAAGGCAACAGACATTGATAGGAAAATTGACGTTCATGAGGGTTTGGTAAGGGTTCATGAACAAAAAGAACACAGTAAAGGAATCGAATGAGATCATTTGGTTGAGATGTGAAAGAAAGAAAGTTGAGTATGTCTTAGGGGTTGAGGGTTGAAACACGGAGAAAGGAAAGAGATTGAAATTCCTGAAGAACAAAACATCATGATGGGTTAATGAAGAGTGAGAATTACATTAAAGGTCAAGTGATATTGTTGTATGAAAAGGTTTATAAATGGGTTTTGAGATTTGTTTATTTTGTTTGAAAGATGAAAGGTTTTGATCAGGATGGATGGATGGGCTTTTTAAGGGATTTTTGGAATTCATCGTGGTTTATATCATTCTTTTTGAGGTTTGATAAATTTGATTTGATTTTAATATCAAGAAAGATGAGAGGAAGAGAAATTCCAAAAAAGTCTATGACATTTTTTTTTGAAAATATAGGATAAATTTTGAATCAGACGAGATTCGAGATAGACCGTGAGGATACCTTGAATGGATTTCAGATATGTGTCTTTAAATGAAAGTACATAGATAGATATACCCATTGAAAGTCTCTTGTCTATGAATAATATTGTTGATGAAAATTGATTTAGATTACCCACATTGATAGCTAATTTTCACTTTGTACGGATCAGGAATGACCCAAGAAGAGTATGATCCCGAATTGTCACGGGATTTTGATTTTCTTGTGTATTTATCAGTTGATGGAAAATTGATATTTTGATTCACACCAAATTGGTCCAGAGGGTTAAGAATTGTTGAGTTAAGTATCCTCTCTGCATGCATGCATGTCTTTCGAAATTCCTCATAGTATTAGTATGAATTCATTTTTGAGCTACTCGAAAATGAAATTCCTTTTGGTGGTGTTGCAGAGGAGAGGTGGTGATGGATTTGTGGAGGGAAGATACGAGCTAGTGAACAATGAGATTAAGATTTGGGATGTAAAGTAGAGATGTGATGAAGATAAGATACTCATGGTTGTGAGTAGAATGAAGAATGAATGAATGAATGTAGGTAGATCAAGGGATGATGATGAAGGAAATATACTTTGAGGTTGAGCCCTTTGAATGAGTACTGAATGTGAAACGAGAATCAGAGGATAGCTTTCAGTGTGAGTGAAGTGTTACAGAGATTGACATTTGAAAGTGGAAATCTATCGATTGCAAAATCAAATCGATTTCTCAACTTACCACTAATACCATTTCACTACTCAACTTCAACTTCTAATCAAACCAAACCAACTCATGAAAACAAAGAACATCATCATCAACAACAATAACTAATCAAAAGAGACATGAATCATAAAATAGAAAATCAAAATCAAATCAAATCAACTTCAACTAATGATCATTCAATCACTAACCCTTCATCACCTATCAAATCATCAACTCATTCTTCATTACAACTTATCAATCCTACTTCTTCAGCTTATGTAGCTCTCACTCCTACTTTAGATTCTAACATCATTCATCATCAATCTCATCATCATCAATCTCAATCTCAATCTCATACTTTTAAATCTTTCTCTCCTCAATTCAATAGATCCTTCTCTTCTTCTTCTTCTTCAGCAGCAGCTTCTTCAAATCTAAGACTCTCTACTTCTCAACATACTCTCAAGACTCTAGCCGGTGGTAGATATTATGATGAATATGATGAAGATGAATCAAGTGATTTAGATCAATTACCTCCATTACCTAATTCAGCTTCGTCTCATCATTCTTCTAGAAGATCTCCTCATCAAGCTTCTTTTCCACCGGCTTCGACTCCTAACTCGACTCCTATTCGATCAAATCAAACATCACCTTTATCTCATCATCATCATCATCAAAATCATAGACCTCCCTTAAGACTTAATTTACAATCTTCTAATTCAATCATCATCGATCTCACTCCACCATCAGCTTCATCTCCTACTCATCCTCAAGCGTTCATTCCCTCTACTTCTACGACTCCTACTCCTACGACTACTACTACCAATTCACATTTACTTAATCATGAACCTTTTCATTTGTTTTCAGCTGAAGATTGGAATACATTCTCACTTCAACGTCCTTTACTTTCATTAGGTATCAAATTAGGTGGACTTTTAGTGGCTTCTGCTTTGTTGTTGAGTGCTGTGATTTGGGTTTTACTTCCACCGGTGGCGGAAGAACATAGATCGATGTTGACTTTACCGACTAGTTTTGATGCACTTAAAAAATTAAATCAACTTTTACAAGTAAGTGGATTTGATATCAAAAAAGATCATTAGGAAAGATTTCATACTGAGTTTTTGATTTTTTTTTTTGATTTTCTTGTTGATTTTTTTATATAGATTTATAAAACTAAAAACTATTATAGATTACTTTCATCATTTATCTTGATTTATCTATTCTTACAAGCTTTTTCATTACCCGGTTCGATGTATTTATCAATCTTAGCAGGTGCGATGTATGGGGTGAAGTTAGGATTACCCCTAGTTTCATTCTGTGTAGGAACAGGAGCTTTGTTATGTTATAAACTGTCATCAAACTTAGGAAGTACAATCTTTTTATATTCACCATCACTTAGGAATCGATTAGAAGTATGGAAGATGAAGATTGAAACGAAAACCAATCGATTGGATTTGTTTTCATACTTGATCGTCATTCGAATCTCTCCTTTACCACCTCATTGGGTCGTAAACCTTTTGGCTCCACATGTTGGGATTGAGTTAGGAATCTTTTGGTTATCAACTTGTATTGGGATCATGCCTGTGACATTGATTCATACTCAATTAGGTACTACTTTAGATCAAATGGTCGGACCTGAAGATTTATCATTACTGAACCCTAAGAACTTGTTTGGATTAGGATTAGTGGCTATTGGAGTCTTAGTGCCTGTAGGAATCCGATGGTATTGTCAAAAAGAACTAGAAGAATCGAGTGGGACGAGTGAAGGAGGTGGGCATAGTAGAAGGATCGGATTGAGTGAAGAGAATGAAGAAGAAGATCGTAGGTTAGGTAGATTGAGAAGTTTAAGTGGTCATAGTTATGATGGTAGATTAACTCGTAATTCGTCGGTCACTAGTTTGTCTGGGTTGAATCGATCGGCATCTACGGATACTTTGGTGCTTTCTTTGTCTAGAAGAACTTCTTCACCTAATCAGATTAGTTCTAGAAAACATGAAGAAGTTGAAGTGGTTGAAGAAGAACAAGAAGATGACCATGAAGATGAGGAGGAGGATATGAATGATGAGCTTAGTATGAAGAAAACGTTTAGGAAAAAGAATGCGAAGGGTTCGGGATTGGCTTCATCGTTGGTTCAGAACCCACGGAATAAAGCGGCTAGGGTCTTGGGAATCTCTTCTAATACTACTCATCATCCAAAAGTTCATCATCATCAGAAAGCTCATCATCATCATCATCAAACGAATCCTTTATCACCGGTGGATGGATTAGGTGGGATTTCTTTGTCGGATACTAGTCTGGGTCGTAGTCGTGGTCGTCATTAAAAGTTTTTCATCTTTTTGGTCTTTCCTTTTCTTTTTGGTCTTTTCTTTTCTTTTCTCATGTGTTTTTTTTTTCGTTTCTTTCATTTATCTTGTTACCTTTTTTTTGTCAACTTAAAAATAAACTCAATGTTGTATCAATTTATTTCATTCATTCTTTCTTCTTCATTTCATTCTTTCAATTTGGTTTGGTTTGGTTTGGTTTGGTTTTGGTTAAATTGGTATCTTGTGTTTTTTTATTACTTTTTTCTTTACCGAAAACTAAAAATTCAAAAAATGTGTGTTTGTGTATGTTGGTTTGGTATGTTTGGTTTAGTTTGGTCTAGGTTTGGTTTAGGTTGTTTGGTTTAGGTTGTAGGTGTTTAGAATACCGAGGTTTTGGATTTTTACACCGTTTTAAGTTTTGTGTCGTTCTATATTTTTGGTTTTTTGGGGGAGGAGGAGCAGGGAAGTGAAGGGAAGTGAAGGGAAGGTCTTTATGAAATGAAATTTATCTTTTTTTTGCACTACATGCTACATAATTCACACTGCTGGAATTATGAGGTGTGAAAGCTGATTGAACTTGAGATGAATGTCTGTGATTTTCTTTTTCTTTAATGGATGAGTCTTTTTTGTCATAATATTAAGATCTTGGAAGTTTGTATTGGGATTCCTTCTTGCTGTGTAGTACTAATTAACTCACACTGGCTTTGTTTTTTTCTTTTTATCATTTTGGTTTATGAAATCAGAAATAGGTGGTTTGATTCTAGTTAGGAAAAGTAGGAGTTATGAAGGTTAGGTGTGGGGGAAGGTTTGTGGTTTTGGAATGAGATGTTGAAAGGAAACATTCATGATTAACAGAATTGAGTACATAGCATCAGATGAGCATATGTAAGAGTTCTTATCATGGGTAACAAGAAGATAAATTTGATTTATAAAATCCTTAAATGGTTTTAAATTTATTGACTGTGTAGTTTATCAACATTAATAATAAAGCTTAATAGAAGGATTTAAATCTTGATGGCTTGAATGTTACACTAAGTTCAAGATTGTGATATGGTTCTTTATGCAAAGAAACTTCTTGGGAAAGGTTTCTGTGGATGGTCTTATATATATATAACAGAATCTCCAGTTTTGTTTTCCTTTTGCAATTTTTAGTTTGGATAAAGTATTGATACTTTTTGGATACTAGAATTGGTGTATGGTTTGCTGATCAGACCAGGATATTTAACAAGAAATCTTACATAAATGAAAAGATTTGTGTGAACAGGTTCTTGAACTGATTTGTTAGTCTTGTTGCTTGATAGATGGACCAACAAGCCAAACTTTCACTTTCTTACCCTTCTAACTTTTTTTGGTTGAACATTTTGGGCCTTGTTGTCTTTTTGAAAGTGGAACAATGGAGAATCAAAATGGGGTCACTTGGGCTGCTTTGGTCTATTTTGGATGACCCTGTGTTGGGCAAAGATATTGTAAATAGGTTTAATGAGAAGTGATTCTTGTGGATGCTCATCTCTTATGGTTTTTTTTGGATTCCTAACTAGAAGTGCTCACAACAGCTTCCATACTCTTCCATAACTCAACTCTTGTGACAAATGGCAACAGGTTTGTTGTAGTGTAATGAGGTGGGTATATGGGAAAGATTCATTGGATTTCTATGCATTTTGTAGTGTTATGTGTATCATGATAACTAGATAACGCACAAATTCATTTTAACAAGTTTAATGGAAGACAAAATAAGCATAAGACAACTGTATCCAGTTGGTTTGGTTGGATTTGATGAGATCTTCTGTATCAAGATTGTTGATGACAGCAGAGGATGTTTCCAGTATGTAGAAGACAGTAATTGAGGCCTCTACATGTGACACATCCATTTTCAGAAAGTACAGTGAACCCACTTTGGACAAAGATGATTAGACATCCTATGTCTGATCCATGTCCCACTGTCTGGGCTTCTTTACAAAGGGAAGTCTGAAGACCTATTTGAGACATGTATCAATGTTCTACCACAATGCATTTGTGTGTGTACATTTGTGTGCTACAGGGGAATGGATGTGGTGTCGAAAAGATGCATAAACCTACCTTGCAGATTGATTCTTGCAGAGGTGGAACAGTCAAGTTTTGGGTGCTTGGGAAATCAATATTGAAGGATAGATATACACCAAGGTCATGTCAGTTTTTGATCTTGGCTTGCACAAAGTAAAGTCACTTAACATGCATTGGTATCTTAATCTCATCATTGCTGTTAAAATTTGTGCTTTATGAATAAATTCCTTGAGAGCTTGTGATTTGTGATATAAAACCCCTTTGGAAAGATGCAGTTGAATATCTGTTACTCACAAGATGCCAAAGCTGAGCCTACAGTATAAACAAACTAGTAAGTATCAGATTTCACTAAATGTCAAGTAAAATGTTTACACACACCTTGATAATCCACTCCACACTTGGCATAAGTTCTCCTTGGTCTTTGGGAGGAGAGTAAATTTTGATTTGGGGATCCAAGATGCATTGGTTGGACAAAATCTTGATCAAAACCTTTTGGCTCCTGATGAGCAAATGAATATAACAAGTCAAACTTCATGGTGGACTTATATGAAGTTTGATGTCAATAATATCAGCTGCGGGCAGTGCGGCAGGAATTTAAATGGTGGAGTCCCGGCTCATTGTTTTACAAGGCCTGTGGAAGCCTTTGAGATTCTTCAATCCCAAGCTGAGTTAAACACACCTGATCTTGATGAACGTTCAAGTGACTCTGCCACTAAATATCGGTGGGATTCTAGGCATGGGCAGGCTTGATAGAATTTCTCAAAGATTGTGACACAGAAATTCTTTTACAAAAGACCAAGATCTTATATCTTTGCAAAATATTCACACCTGGACCATCCTTGTGGAATGTGTTTGATATTGAATTAGACACATTCTGCCTGATGGATTTGAGTGGTCTTATCATTTGGATGACACAGGTGACATGTTTGACATTTTAACAGAAATTGTATGATGTAAGCTCCCTAATTCATATCTTTTTTGTTCCATCAAGATGAGTTAATTAACTACTTCACATATACTTCATTGAGCAGAACACACTGCCTGGTAAAGATTTTTTAGGTACACTTTCCTTGTTAATCTTAACAAAGGCACAACTTAGGATGCAATTCCATGACTAAGTTTTTGGCAAAGTAGGTATATATCCGTAACTCCAAACCAAGTTTTTCACCGGGGAAGTTTGGATTGAATTACACAATCCAAACTCTCACATCAACTACTTTGACCAAAACCTTATTGATAGAATCCATTCTCACAGTTGGAAATTTTTAATTCCACCCACCCACCCAGCTGGGCGCCAAGATCAGCCTGACATCAACGGTGAAGTATACCGTGACGCAAAGATGGCAGAGCCCTGCGCCCGGGCTCCCCCAAACAAACTTCAACCTCAGCCATAATTATAGACCAAGGTTGAAGATTGTAAGTAATTAATGTACATAGAAAACATGTAATCCATGTTTTCAACATAAGATATTTATTAACAATAGACTTATTAAATATACTCCAATAATCTTACCATGAGAGTAAGAAAACTTAGAGAATGGATACCTGTTTTTTTGTTGTCAGGAATGAACATTGATTGGATTGGAGTCAAAGTGGGTACCTGAACAGGTGATTTGAGTGAGTGGTAGATTGACTGATAGTAATGTCCTCCTATGCTTTTCTTAATGTGTAAGTAAAACCTTCCTTAATTATGATTGCACTTTGTATTAAAACTCACTGAACATTCCAACAGAACTGTTGGTCTTGATCTGGAATACATAGCTGAACACTTCCCTGGTGATTACATTGCCAGCAAGCCCTGTATCTCTGGAACTGCAATGTACCTCTTCATCAAGGAGAATTGAAGAACCAGCACAGTGAGGTGCACTCAGTGCTAAGTCTCCAAACAATCAAGATGAAAATTGATTCCCTTGAAAGAAAAGTACCATGACCAGGCTGATTAATTTGATGCTGTTACAATCAAGCATCTCACCAACATCCTTGGTGTTCCAGAGGGAAGGGCTTTCCTGGTACCATCTGCCAAATTGCTGGTACTTCAGGTATGTTTTATGTTTTGAAAATTCATGGTTGTAGATGCTAACTATCAAACAATTAGGTTGCCCAAGTGTTTCTCCCCAATGCATAATCTCTGGGCAACAAGGACTTGGTGTTGGAGTTGGGGCGCAAGAAGGTGAAGTAGTTTGTCTTCATGGTGAGTGTCCATGGTACTCAGGAGGAGAAATATTGGACTTGCCTAGGCCCAACATTGTAGCAATACATCACGGTTTATATTCACCACAACCACACAGCAAATAAAAAACATTGTCAAAGGACTGTCATGGACAAAGCCCGGCCCCTGGCTGATCTTTGCACAAGACCTGACAGCTATTGATTAGGAATATGACCTGGACCCGGAGACGTGTCCGGCCCCAGGGCATTGCACAACCTTGGAAAGGCCCTGTTGCATCTTCAAGCAGACCAGGGCCAGCTGCAGGGCTGTATTGAGCCTGAGAGGATAGAACCAAAAACTTCAAGGCCAGGGCCCGTGGCGGGGCTTCTGGGGCTAATCAAGCCAAGCTCAGCTGACCTGGGGTGTGTGCCACACGTCTCCAGGAAATCATTGGGCAAGCTTGGGTGTGCAGAGCCAGGGCCAGGTCATAGCCATACTATTGAGCTTTATTTTCTTCTTATCTTCCTCCACGCCATCCTGGCATGCATGTGAATCTACCTGTGCACCTAGCCATTTCTTACCCTCCTAGCAACTGTGGAAGTATCTTACCACACTGTGCCTTTGGTGGGAAGTAGCAATTATTTAACAATTTTGTGTGAATGAGACCAGACCCACTGACCTATCCGTTGTCATGCAGATATCTTGAACAAGTCCTGCACTATGATCAAGAGGTTTTTGATGCAAAAAAATCCTGGGCCAACATCAAAGCCTCTGGCCAACCGCCAGCTCCTCTTTTGGCTCAATTTCTAGCATCTGCTCAAGACAATCGCATGGAGAGGTGTGGATCTGGTAATGGTAATGCATTGGGGAGGTCTGGCTCTGGTCATATGGATACAGAGGAGGATGGCAAGGAGGAGGAATAAAACACTGGATATCAACTGTAGATAGTTTGATCAACTCAAATCAAAGTCCCTTGCTCTTGTGATACATAATTGAATCATGTCTTTGTGCTGCTCACCCTACCATACAACAAGCATTGGGAGTGTTTGGTATGAATTTGGATTGAATTCTGCATTCTGCTTACATCCCACACTCTCCAGCACGCGCACGCGAGCTAAGTAACATACAAGCCTACCCCATTGGTGCTGTGTGTCTTAGCTGTGAGATCTTTGAATGTGAGGTTGGGTATTTGAGTGGGTGTAGATCTCATGCAGTGCACATATCATCTTTAGGAGAGATATCCATCTCAAAATGGTTGGGGGTTCCTTCAGTGATGTAGTGGTGGGACAATGTGACCAGGGGGTGGCAATTGTGACCGGGTGGCAGGGGGGATCACAGGTGGTAGGCTGGTGGAAGGGGCAATCATGGAGCATACTTAGCCATAACTGCTGCACTTTTCAGCATCTGTGGTGATAAGCTCAATTAAAGTGCTGTATTGGCTGTATTTTGGAAATTTATGTGCAAAAATTCAAAATAAATCACTCAGGACACAAATTTCCTGAAGAGATGTATTAAAATGTTTTGTGTTGTTTTGTTTTTAGAAGTAAGAGGTATGAATGAATGAATAAGTCAAAAAAACAATTGAATTTTAGGTGTTTTGTTTTGTTTATACGCTTTTTATTTCTTGATCTTGTTTTGAATTATAATTTTTTCTTGATGATTCAGCAAAAAAAGAAAGTAGTATATGTGACCTCCTCAAAAATAAAACCTTGGTAAATCATTTTAGTTTTTTCATTATGAGTTTGTATGTATATATATAGGTTTTTTCTTTAATTTTCATGAATATGGAAAGAATTCTTCATTGGTTACGTACACTTTCTGTTTTTGATAAAGTGGTGGAGTTTTGAAATGATGAATGAAATTTTTATTGAATTTTTTCAGTGCAAATCAACGAGTCAAAGAAATGACGTAAAATGAGTGTTTTAACTTTGAAAAAGACAGTTTGATCTCACTTTCTGTAATTAGGATCTGAAGATAAGAATTCACTGCAGTGGAGGAGATAACTTTGGATTCAAAAGTATGTATAGTATAATGAAGTGTATATACAAGCAGGTTAAGAACTTGAGTATCACCACAAGGTGGTCGAGATTCACCGTGCATTCGCGTATATTATTTTGCAATTTAAAGAAAGGGTCCTGGAGTCTGAATGTACAAATTTTCTTCTTCGCATTCATCAAACTTTGCATATGTGTATTGATTTATCAATATCAAAAAATGCAAAGAGACTCAAGGGATATGAGTGAAGGTTCGGTGATAAGATCTTGTGAGATCATCAGCAGGAGAGATATGGGCATTTGGATTTCAAAGTAAAAGGGACAAGTGATTTATCGAGATTACAAAGTATAACGATAAGAAAAACTACAGGTTAATTAAACTTGGGTTTAAATATTTTCTTGCTGTAAGCTTTGAATTGGGAGAATGGGCAATGATACAAGTTTTCAAGTTAAGCTTGATACTAATAGGACTACATGGTGATTAGACTTTAAAGGATTGAGAATAGGATGAAAAAAGAATTAAAAGGGATTTCAAGGCTATGAAAGATAAATACTTTCAAGTCCATCAGACCTGTGAACCGTAGGAATGAAAAGGCAAGAACAGTCAACACAACAGCCCAAGAGGCAAAACAATAAACAAGAGAAAGACGTATAGAAATGGAAATCTGACCTTTAATTTTTGATTCAAATCAGTTTCTAATTCCACAACATCAACAACCTTTGTAGGAGTAGAAGTTTTGGGACTAGTTTTGATGGCTTTTGATTCTTCTATTTCTGAAGGTTTTTGAGCCAAGAGTTGTTTGCCTACATCCGAATGAGTAGTAGTAGAACTTATACTACCACCACGTTTGATATAGTCGTCCATACTTAGTGGTTCATGACTGATTGAGTTATGGATGATTGGAGCTTCGTGGGTTATATCTTTGGTACAAATGTAAACAAAAAGATAGCAAAGTTAGATATTTATTCAAAGTATTGTAACTTGATCTTTTTGACTCAACGATGAACGGGGACAGTAGTATGGATTCGATGACGATCGTGAGTTTCTTTTTCGATCACAGGCTGAATCACATTATGAACATGATGATGTTCTCTAACTTGAACCGTTTCGCCAAGATCAACGACTTCTCGTTTGGTTTCAGCATGAACAACTTGATCTTTGAATTGAGTTCCAATTGACTCGTAAGCAGCTGCGTCGTCTGCTGTAGCTGACAAGTTCTCATTTATGACGGTCTAAGAGAATCAAAAAGAAATTTGATATGAGTTGAACGCTAGACCATCCTAGAGAAGATTGTTAACTTACAGTAGGCGCAACGGTGGTATGATGCACCTCATCACGAACTTCCAAATCTTTGACAGGCTGATGAGATCAACAGAACAATTAGAATGTGAGCAATTTTCCAGAGATTCTGCGTAGAAACAAAACGAGAGGTACCTGAACGTGATGTTGAACATGATGAATGTGTCGATCATGCTCACGGGCTCTCAAGACTTCCTCTGTCTCTTGGTGTTTGATCAAGTTATGAGTTACAGCTAGAGAGTGATATCAAAACATTGTATTGTAACGTCAACGGTTTTGAATTTATTGAAATAAAAGTGGTAGACATTTTCACTGACGAGCAACGACTTTTTGAGTTTGGATAGTCTCAGCTGCATCGAGTCCATCCTTCGCCAATGGTTTAACTGCGATAGAAGGCACTGTACTTCAGCTTCTGATCATTTCGAAGCGAAGAAACGAGAAATGAGATAGTATAGAACTCACCGACAGATGTTACTTTACTTTCTCCAGTTACATTCTCGCGAATGACTTCATCCTTTTCCACAACTTGCTCACTGGTAGGTCTGACATCTAGACTTTTCTTCGATTCGGCTGTAGCTTTTGATGAGCGACGAGCAGGCTTGATGGAGGAGCTTCTTGTTGGTGAAGATGAGTCGGTACTGGTCTCGTCCTTGTTGGGACTCAGAGCTTTTTTGATCTTGTCCATGGTGAGTTAGAATAATAGGATACTGTGAGGTTCTAGATTGGAATGTTTATTGTCGATGATAATGAGTAAAGGTAAGAATTTCGATCAGTGAAGAACACAGATGTCTAAAGGCCAGAGAGGTTTTTTTGTGGAAGAAAGTAAGAGATTTTGGAAGCAAGAAGCGATAATTATATCGAAACCAGTCATGATCCTTGAGATTGTACCACCAAGTCGTAGGAATGTAATATTTCTTTTTCCGTTCAAGTTGATGACAGGAAGATAATGAAGAAAACAATGAATTGAGCCGGTCTGATTCCATGTTCGGAAGCCTATGCTAGGCCGAAGGGATGGAAGACGATAAATTACCAATTCAAGAAGCAAGACGACGTGTCTTCGGACTTTATGGTAGACCTTTCAAGGCAATCGTCTTGATCTACTGTGCTAATTTGTTCTACTCACTGGTACCGGCGTGAATAGGTAGCATTGTGTGAAGACAGTAACAGCGTATAGAATCACACTTCATGCGAACTATTCATCTTTCTTTTATCTATCAAAGACAATTGTTCGATTCATATGCCTGATCAAGCGTCATGAAGATGATCTAGTAATGAGATCTCCGTTTGCTTATTTTGGGCAGCTCGACTCTGCTGAAGCACGCTATCGTCCTGGGCAAGACTCAGAGCAAAGTACATATGCTTACGCAAACCAAGATAAGATGATAGCCAGACATAGCCAGTTCATTCGAGGGTTTTTCAAAGCTGTGAGCCATCACTGGATGCAACGGGTGCCACTCCCTTACATCTGATTTAGATACTGGTTCAGATACCAAAAAAACCTCTAATCACAGCGTTTGAAGCTCTCTTACGTACATACTCTACAGCTTGCAACTCAATTTGGTTTGGTTGTATGATATAAGGTCTGATGAAGTTGTAGCTGCGACCACCAGTCGGAATATTCATAAAGGCATCATCGTTACCTGCAAAGAACTCTCTACTTGACTATGTACGACCAGCTTGACTCAAACCATTGAACTCAGGCGAGCTACTCGTTGAGGCGGGCAGCTGGCAAAGTCAGGTCTTGTGCGCGTTGTCCACTGTAACCTGAATTTTTTTATCATTTGTTAAAAAGTGACATTTGACAAAATGTAATAAAAACCCCTAACGCCCACAATCAATGATGGCAAGAAAGACCAACACTCCTTGAAAACAGTGTGAAACTGCGTACAAAGAGATATGGAAGAGAAAAACACGTGAAGCCAAACAAATAGACTGTCAATTGAAAGTGGGTGTTCCCCAAAAGTGCACCAGGACTGGAATGAAGAAGTAAAGGAGTGACGATCAAGAAAATAAATTGAAGATAGGCTTGCTACTTGATGGTGAGAATGTGGTGTGCAACCAACATTGATTTTGGTGCGAGTCGCAGGGCTGGTCCATTCAAGGGATGATGAGGACTTAGAAACCAGGAACGGAGCTGCCGGGGGTGGGCTTCTTGAATCCAGGTGGAGTGTAGCCTGCCTGGAAGTTGTTTCCCGACCATAAAAAGTTCATTTTCGAGCGTGCCTCAAAATGAGATTTACCCCAAAAGGCTTCCATGCTGGTTGAGTCAAAGTTTCAAGTCAGTGATGAGTTCATTCCAGCAAAAAATACCGGGTGGGTGGTTGATATCAGCAAACGGATGAAAAACGTACCCCATGTTAGCAACTGAGACATAAGCACTGGCAGGAAACCTTTTCAATTCCACCAATTTCATGAGCCATTCGCGCGCATCACCAATAAAGGACCCTGAAAAATCCTCATCCGGGACCAGTGTGCGGACCATGACGTTATTGTTACTTTTGTTAGGGCCCTCGTAGAGAGTCCAACTTCTACCATAGAGGTTTTCAACCCGGACTGTTTTGCCACCATAGCCAATAGGCTTTTGACCACCTTCTTTCTCTAACCAAAGCATCAATTCATGGTCGGGATTTTTGTTGTTAGTGAGGCTGATCACAAAGTCTAGACAGACGTTTGCCTTTGTTGGCTGTGAGTTGGTTCGCTGCCACTGTGAGCCAAAAAAAAAGAGTTCTCAGTCGAGTTGGAGTAAATGTAAAAGAAAAAAGTAACTCACGTAATATTCAACTGGAATAGAACGATAAGCAGTGATTGGTTGGTTCATGTCAGAAACCATCCCGACAAAGGCATAGCTTTTGGGCACATTCTCGCTGTAGGATAGTGGAGAGCTCGGAGTTATTGTTTGATGTTGCAGGGTTGAACGGCGGTGTGGATTCACAGGAACATGAAGGAAAACATTTCATCGTGAACTGACGTTGCGGGTTGATTAGCAATGTCCAAGTCATTTCGCCAATGTACCATGTCCGCTTTCCACTCGAGAAGCTGAGTGGTTTGCTTCCCCACGGTCATGCCTGAGTTATAGATCTGGAGGAATACCCAGCCAAATCAGACAGAAATCATGGAAGATAGCATTGATTCTCCAGCGACGTACCATATTTTCAAGAATATACTTGGGCTCTAAGAGTGTGGCTTCTGATGCGCCAGACATTGGCTTGTAGTATTCAAAGTACCATGGACCTGGGTTTCGTTTGGCGAGGGACCGTTTGACGGACTTTTTAGAAACCGGAGTAAGAGATGAGCCGAGAGTTGAAGTGAAGGAAAGAAATAAAACAAAGAGTGAAAGAGATGTTGCAGACGAAAACATGGTGACGATAAAAATGGATTGACGAGGATGACCAAAAAACAGGTGTGCAATAAGAATGAGACAGGTCTTGAAGCTATAACAATAATGGAAACACTGAATCCGTTAGCTATCGAAAGACGTTTGAAGAGTGACCAAGTGACTTGGGTAACAAGGTGATGAAGCAGCACTGAATCTTATATGCATTTTTCAAGCGTACGCGCAGCGTGGAATTTCGTGAACAGTGGGTCCAAATTCCACATCATGCTTCACATGGCGTATTCCTTACGCTAGACGCCACTAACAGATGTGAAAAAGGAGGGTCCCTCAGGGTTCATCCCATCGACGAATGTCGAACTCTGTCGAAGCATCCTATGCTATCCTACGCACATAAACACGAGCACGAGCACGAGCACTAGCACTCCTGAGTGTACATACACACACAAGTTAACGCCCAATCGCGGTGGGTTCATGAAGAAGATCCCAATTCACCGTCAGTATGAGATTTCATAAAATTTCGCGGCCAAGCTTGGATCTGATCAAGTCTTCAAGAGTGGTATCATGGAACCAAGCTTCTTGGAACGATGTTTCATTGTGTTCCATTAAGGTATCTGTCAATTTTATTGTCAAGGGTAAAGAGTTTGATTTTGAAACAGACGACAGCTCAACAACCGTAGTAACAGAAAATGGTAGAGAACAATTTCTTGCTTGGATCACCCACAGGCAAAGAGATCTGCCGGAACTCACTTGACATTGGTTATGGAAAATTCCAACAATGTATGGATTTGGCCTTTAGAAGCCCATGATTTCTTTTCCGTCCAGCCGATTTTGCTCTGCAGCTCCACTTGGCACATCACCTGCAAGGCAATCCCACAACAGGTCCATAATTGTGGGATGAGATGTAGAAGACGCGGTCGATATGATCATCTTCATACCTATCGCATAAATTCCTATAAAATATCATAAAACATCATCAAGTCTAATACATGTATGCCGCTCAGATTGACAGCAAAATGCGAGGAAATATATTATCCAAACTTCAGTACCATGGGACGTTCATTTAAGCGTGTAAGATTGGCAACAGATGATACTGGAAGGATCACATTGGCTACATATTTGCCTTCTTATGTTCAGTACCTCATTTCTGGTTTGGCTCATGAGGATATCTAGACGTCACCAAATGTTTAAGAGCACCTAAGCTGAATAACGCTTCTCGCGCGACGGCGTCCGCGTCCACAAAAAACAGCTGCTTACTAGTAATCTTATCCTCCGCCGCAATTTCATTGCACAATCTAGTGGTGCAATACTTACTAAGCTTCAGCTGAGTTGACCATAGGCTTCAGTAAGCCCCTCACGAGCGCGTTTTCCGGGCTCGAAAAGACCTACAACTCCAACACTTTGAATGTCTGACGTGAAGCTTGGGATACATCTCCTTGAGCAATTTTTGAACAGAGATAACATTTTGTAAGATTCAAAAGGACTGTTCTATAGAATTTCTTTAAGTATTTCATTCTGAATCTACCAGCTTGTGTATTCTGATCAGAATCAGGTTAAGCATCCACACGCCTATGTTTGTTAAGCAAATGATCTAGGAGAAATCCATAAAGTTAACCACTTTATAAAACACTTGCTGGGTGATACATCAAACTAATTACCAGTGACACAGGAATCAAAGTAAAGAACGTAAGACTTGAACATAAAGTATGATGATATCCTTGAATGATTTGAAAGAGAAAGAATCATAAAGGCAATCCTTTGTTGAAATATGCTGTAAGGTTTGAGCTGATAAATATATGGTATATGACCAAAACTCAATCCTATTCAAGGTAAAATATCATGTACATCATGATATATGTATGACACAGAGTGTGTTTCTAAATTTTCTCTTCACAATCTGTTTCTTGATGATTTCATTTCACTGCATACAAGATTGTCAGTTCATTCAAGGCCTTTAACAGAGGATCTACTCATACTACTGATGAGATTTTGGCAAGCTGATATGTATCACAATATTTCTGATTTGTATCATATGATCTTATAACCTGCATCAATTTTTTTTGATCTTCCTTGCTTCAATATCATCAATGAAATTATACAAAAAAAATGCAATTCTTTACCCTCAAGTAGATGTAAGTATTCCTGTTTAAGGGGTTCAAAAGTTTATAAGTGTTCAACATCCTGAGATTGTGGAATAAAGCTACACATTTAATTCTAAATCTTACAACAAGCTACATATTTCAATGGGTCTTGGAAGTAGAAGTGAGTTGTCATTTCCAAAGAGAAGCCTTTACACTTGAATTTAGAGAATTCACAAACCATATGGATGTACCAAAAACATTTTGTTATTATTAGGTATTCTTGTATTATTTACAGCTTGTATTCATGACATTCGGGAAATTCCTGTCCTGCTTTGTCATCCTCGAAGCAATTTCTTTCCTTTCTGGTCAATGATTCACCGAACCTCAAGCTAAAATACGTACAATACAGGCCTATGATAGAAGCTTCTTGTTCAGTTGGGGGCATCCAGGACTATCCAGGATCCTTCAGCTGATACATGGCTCTACACATTCCGTCTACATAATTTGACGTGAACCTTCCAGAGAAACAAAATAAAAAAGTTGGGACAAGACATTTTGAATAGTATGTATGTACTGATGTACATCCATATGCACGTTCAATCTGAGATTCCATATTTATGAAAGTCTGTTTGCTTTGAGCATAGCAAGCATTTCCTTTTTAAGCCATTATTGTAGACATACAAGATTGCTTTGATTAATTTGGTATGTAACTAATTTTAAAAGCATGTTCATTTTTTGGTCTGACTGAAAAAAGAATTTCTACCCACATACATAGAGCAAGTCTTTTAGTATGGAATTATTTGCAGTTTAATCACCTTTGATTTTGTTCCAGTGTAACATGAAACTGATCTGTTAGTGCTGGCAGCAAGCTATGATTCATTCTCTAGCACAACGGAAGAGCCGATAATAAAGTGTAATATAAAACCAAGATTTAGAAGTGATTCACAAATTTTATGTGGAACGTGTTGTCTTGTGATCACTTTGTCAAGACAATGGGTTTCTTTAAAATTGACTTGACTTGGTTTTAGATATACGTTGGTAGTTATTCTAATGATTTTTCGGTAGTGGAGCGGATGGTCATGAAAGAAAGATATGAAGGTGTAGAGAATTGTAAAAGGTCGAAACCCATGAGCTTGACTTCGGTTGCTGACCGGTGTGTATTGAAATGTGTAACAGGGTTTGAAGTTTATTTCGGATTGATTCTTAAATCTTTGTGGTAATGTTTCGTGAGATATTTTAAATCGAATCCCCCTAGTATGTACTATGTGTGTTGTACATAGTGGTACATAGTGGCTGGTAGTGGTGGAGTGAAAATGAAAGTCTAAAACACTTTACATAATGTTTAAGGTGTTTGTTATAGAAATCTAAGTGAGCTTAGGTTAAAGTCTCAGACTCACCTTCAGGCTTCGATTTCACCACCAGAGCATTACTAAATACAAGGTAGCTTCAAAGTTAAGCTCACAGTTCTCTTGATTCTTGAACCCTCTCATCAAGCTTTTCTACCACAATTCTTCTTCTCCTTCAGTTCTTCGAATCCGACTATCTCTCTGATAACTTCAAAGATCACTTAAGGAATATTTGATTTTAGATTGTAGACTCCTACCTAATCAAATCATCAAAGTGTTTCGATTTCAATCTAATCAAATTGTAAGGGTTTCAATTTCTTTATATAATACATTGATTTACATAGTTTCAAGATTAATAACTAATCAGTTTGATACTTTTAATGCCATTCAAAACCCATCACAATTGATAGAAAGTTGAGATAAACCCGAATTCAACTTGCCATCTATTTTTTTTTGCTTCGTTTTTTTCGTAACCCTTCAACGGTTATCATTCCAACTTCATTATTTTCCTTCGATTTTCATTCCTCTTCTTTAAGTACTACTTTTCCAAAAAAAAACCAAACTAAACTTGAATCATCATCGAATTCTAGTTTCAATACTTTCACTTCTTGATCAAGTTTTGAAGTTTATCATCAAGATTACTATTTACTAACTAGTTTGAAGAAAGTTCTACGAGAAGCTACACAACATACAATCCAACAGAGGATCGAATTAAGTTTTTTTAATTTATTATTATTGTTTGACCTGTACAGATTCAAGATCGATTTAGATTCTTGACTTCATCGACCAAATTCACCAGAAACGATTATACTGACTGACTGACTCACTCACTCACTCACTCACTCTTGTACTCTATCTCATTCTCAGACTATCAGCTTGGTAAGTTCCTTATCATTCATCATCAATCCATCACTCACATCCTTCGCATCTTGATAGATTCATTAATTGATCAATACATTTCACTCTAAACTTTCGATTCAACTTCAAATCAAATCAACACTCTCGATTCACTTTGACCACTCTAATACCTTATCTGATTGGAATCTATACACTTACAGTTGATCATTTCAAAATGAATCAATCCCATCATCTTTCACCGGCTACAATCGAAGAATATCAAATGGCGTTGGCGTACATGGCTCATACTGGTCAAACTCCTGCTAATCTTCTATCTCGACCTCTTCCTGCTGGTCTCTCTCAAAATCTATCTCCACAAATCCTCGCCGCACTCCAACACCAACATCAACAAGCTCAAGCTCAAGCTCAAGCTCAAGCTCAAGTACAACAACAACAACAACAACAACAACAACAACAACAACAACAGCAGCAGTACAACAACAACAACAGCAACAGCAACAGCAGCAACAGCAACAGCAGCAGCAAGTACAACAACATCATCAAGCACAACAGCAGCAGGCACAACACCAAGCGCAACAGCAAGCGCAACAGCAAGCACAGCAAGCCCAGTTTCACCCCAACCGTCTGACTCAGCAAGCTCAAAGACCTCAACAAGCGCCTGCAAACATGTCTATTCCCCCCAACAATCTTCCAACTTCACTCCCGATCAGATTCGTTCGTTTTTGGCCGAGAACCCGATTCAATCCACAAACCTTGCCAACAATAACAACATACCCTTCAATCCATCACCCCTTACCTCGAATCGTGTTCCGACCAATCAACCTAACAATGTTTCACAACTTCTTCCTCCCTCACAACCTCAGACTCCTCAACAAAATATTCCGCCCGAACAAGCGCGATTGGTCGCTACCATGCATGCTGCTCGTCAAGGCCGATTGACGGCTGAGCAGATCACCATGTTGTATCGTCGACTTGGTCCTGAAGTCTTTCGAAACGCTGGACTCGGTGATCATCTGGATTCAGCTGGACAACTTTCACTTTCTCCAAGTCTTTTCCAAAATAATACAAATCAACAAGTTCACAATGGTAAGTTCATCAAACACGACTTCTTAACATGCTCTAGCTGACTCAGAATCTTTACGAATACTCTATCACATGTACCTTCCAGCTTCACCTGCCGGACAAACGCCGCTTTCTAATTTACCTACCTCAGGTATGACACCTCAGTCACACCAGAGTCATACTCCAGTTTCACAGGCTCGACTACCCACCCGCCATCCCGGTGCTTCTCAAAACACACCTCATCACCAACAGATTCAACAACAAGCCAATCATCTATCCCAATCAGCTCCTCTCCATTTACACCAACATCAACAACAATCTCAGCAGCAGCAGGAGCTTCAGCAGCAACACCAAGCGCAAGCTTTACATCAGCAAGTCCAACAGCAGGCCCATCAGCAGGCGCAACACCTTCATCACCAGCAACAGCAACAACATCAAACACAACAGCAACAGCACGCGCAATCGATCACTTCACAGCAAGGACAGGGTCAGCATGCACATCCACACCCTAATCAACCCTCATCTTCACAAGTTACCTCGGGACCTGATATGGACGAGAAAGCATATCTGTCCGTGAGAAATCATATAACCATGCTACAGACGTTAAGTAGCCGCATTGAACATATGCATCGTTCATTGGCTACCGGTGTCATGCTGCCCACTTCGACTCAACCGATCGCGAGACCGATCACTGCAGAAGAAAGACCAGTCAAAGAAGCCGAATTGGCAAACGCGCGGAACACGGTGATCCAACTTCAGAGTACCATTACATCGCTGATCAAACAGCACGGTGGGATGGATCGATTTGGCGAACTGATCAAGAAATTCATACCCGCTGGTGGCACGCCTGTATCGAGTGGATCTAACAATCTCACAATGCCCAATCCAAATCAGCCTCGTCCAGCCTCTTCGAATGCCAATCAATCGCATTTACAGCTTCAACAGCAACACCAGCAAATGTTACAAAACCAACACCCGGTTCAAAACCAGTCTCAATTCCAAGCTCAATCCCAACATCACCAACAACAACAGCAGCAACAAGCACTTGTACAAGCGCAGCAACAAGTGCAAGCTCAGGCTCAAGCTAATCAGAAACGCGCTGCGCAAGCTCAAGTGGAAGCTCAGGCTTTGATTCATGCACAAGCCTTACACGCTCAACAGCAACAGCCTCATCCACATCAGCACCCCGGTCTTCTCAATCAGCAGCAGGCGTCCGCTCACCCTCATTTGATCAACGAACCTGCCTTTCCCGGTGCACTCACTCCACAACAACAATCGAGACAATTAGCTTCGGGAGGCCAACCTGCGATGCCGTTTAGCAGCCCGAATTCTCATAACGCACAGGCCAATAATGCCTCTGATCATCTCGCGCGTTTCCAGAACCAGCAACTCCAACAACAGTATACATTTCGCGCGGGCAGTCCACGTCAAGCGGGGACCACCCCACAACCACCTCGGCCATCTTCCACGGTTCCGCCTCATCCCTCTACATCCACTAATGTCTACAATAATGCTCCAACTGCCAATGCGATCCAAGCAAGTCCTCCTTCATTGAACACGACTCATCAGCCACCTTTGAATGCGCCTGCGAATGTTGTGCAATATCTTTCTGGTATGTCGGTAGAAAAGTTCTTGAGTGTCTTACGAGACAATTGTGCTCGTAAAGGAATTCCTTGGACCGGATCGCCTATCTTCAAAGGAAAAGAATTGGACCTTTTCAAGCTCTTTAGCGCCTGTTGTGCTGCCGGCGGTTACGAACGGGTAAGTTCAACTTTTTCCTTCCTGTGAATACAGATACTCTTGAGTTGTTAACGATTTCTCTGCTGTACAAACTTTAGATCACAGCCGGTAGTCTTTGGGGCCACGTGGTCAGGCGATTAGAACTTGGATGTAATCCTGCCGATAAGGATGAAATGTTGACGGCGGGAAATGAGCTATGTGAGATTTATCGAACCTACTGTTTCGATTTTGAACAGATTTTCTTGGCCGCTGTTCGAAAACAACAAGAAGACATGAAGCATCTACCCGCAAGAGGATTTGCTCAACAGCCAGCCGCGCAGGCTCCGGTACAACAGACACCGCAACCACAAAGCCAGATGGTCCCGCATGCGTCTCAAACCCACCTTGAGCACTTGCAGCCAGCCGATCTTCATCATCGACCTGCACAAGGTCCTCTCGTTTCAGTTCATCAGGCTCAAGCTCATCTCGACAATATCGCTAGTGAGCCGCGTGGCATTCCTTCGCACGTTTCTGTTCAGCCCTCGACCTCCCATCAGCTGCAACAAGGTCCATCGCTGCCTCATGTTCAATCCACGCTTCCTCATGTGGGATTACCTCAGCAAACTTCACAGCCTGTTGGAAATCAGAAGCGGGCTGCTCAATTCAGTCCACCCAGTTCACAACCACCGATCACCCAACTTTCTTCACACTCGGCAGAGTCAATCATGTTATTGTCCGATGATGCCTTACGTGGAATGAACATACCGGAAGAATTCATTGCGAAAATCAGGCTGGCTCGTCTTACACGTGACCAAAAGGGCTTGGGAAGCCTTAACCGTCCTAACCATCAAGCTCCGAACCCTAACGAACCGACATCCTTCCCGCCAACTCATTTGTCAAATGATGCTAGACAGCCACCTCCAGCTGCAAAGATATCGGAAGCCACCAATCTCATCAATCAGCTCAAAACGGATTGTTTGCCACATGCGAGAGGGGGTCAGTAGTTTTCTAAGTTGATCCATATTGATCTGAACCTTGCTAACATGTTTTGTTCGTGATTTTGTTCACAGTCTGGCAAGAGTATAAGCTTTCGGCTCCAAAAGACTTGACACCGGCCGATAAGGAACAATATAGTAAACAAATGGATGACATCGCAGGGACCTTTCAGGTCGTGATGCCCCGTTTGCCAGAGTTTCTTGTCGCTACTGGTGGATTAGATCATGTGAAACAACTGCTAGTGATGGTGAGTTTTTTAATGGCTTTCAAGGATCTCTTACGGCTTTGATCAATTGATGAACCATTCCCTCAACGTGTTTAGGCATCCGTCTTTCATATGGGATATATGGCTCTTAAACAGAACGAATACTGCCTCGGTCAAAATGAGATGAAACAGATTCGAGAGCTTGCGGAAGGGCTTAAGCACTTTATGATGTCACGGCAAAATGTCTCCGTCGCTGGCTCATCGCAGGTCGTAGTGGAAGAACAACAGCAACGACAACCACCTGCGCCTACTACGGTGAACTCACCTCAGTTCGAACAGCATCTTAAACAAGGACTCCGAGTGGAAGATCTTAAGCAGCCTCCATCTAAACGAGCCAAGCTTGCTAATAACCATACCAGTCCCGAGCTCAGCAACCTGTCACCATCACCTCTTGATCCATTGGAGACTGGGTCGCCTCTTTCGACCAAATCTCCCGGAGGACCTGCAGCGTCGCGTCGCAATGCGGGAGCTAGTCGTGCTGGTCAAGGTGGCAAGAATACGAAAAAGACTCCAGCAGCCAAGCCCGCTGTCAAAGCTTCGCATCTAATCATGGCCGAAGTCAAAGCTGAGCTCGCTGCCAAAAAGAAGGCAGAGGAAGAGGCCGCCGCGGCTGCGGCTAATGCTGAAGCTCAAACAGCTGCGAAGGGACCAACAAATGCGCCAGGGTCCTCAGAGCCTCCCAAGGTAGGAAACTCTGGTGATCAAGGCTCGAACTCGCTGGTCGGAGCTCCTGAAGATCGCACAGCCAGTACTTCGGGAGCAGTCGAAGCCAACAATCAAGACCAACGTCCTTCGTCACCTGACAATACCTTGACGATGCTGGATGATTTGATGAAAGACTTTTGGGAGCAAGCTCTTCCTGGATCTGCCGGCCTGGGCCACGACTTGATACCGGATGTTAAGCTTCCTATCATCCCCAATGAAGGTGATATTCGAGACGAAAACTTGCTCAGTGGTGGATGGTTGAAGCCTGAGATGATCGCCCAAGTGGAATCGAAAGCTGGGGAGGAAAAGAGAAACTCGACGGTGATGCCACTTGATATGACGGTCTTTATTCCCACCGGATTGGAATCATCTTTAATTGAGCAAGTTGATCCAAAGGGCGCAGGTCAGGGGGGTGCAGGAAAGAAGAGGAAACAGACGGATTGGTTGATGGAACCAGGATGTCATCCCAACGGGTGGTCAGATGATTTCATAGGGATGTTTTTCAAGCCGGAACCCGATGAAAAGGTCTCGGATCCTACTCCTCCCACCCCACCTTCAGCACCGACTTCTGACTCGACCGCAATACCACCACCAGTCAAGACTACAGTTGATACCAGCGTAGTAAAACGAGTGAGGATAGCTGATGAAGAGACACCAGCGTTTTCACCTAGTAAGCTTTCATCTGATAGTACACCAGGATCGGATAATATGGCGGATACGAATGGAGTGAATGGGACTGGAAACTCTACTAAGAAGGTTTGGTTTGGATATCAATTTGAAGAGGATGCTGAAATCCCATTTGAGTTGATGATGTCAGCCACCGAAGGAAGTGGAATCAATGAAAAGTTTTGGACTAAACCGTTTGGAAGTGGATTGGATTCAGTGGTAGGAGATCGAACTAATAAACATGGTAGGAATGCAGGTATTAAAGGAACTGCAGTGATTGCTAAATCGTTTTGAAGATGAGATATAAACATACGAAACGTTTTTTTTTCTTTTTCGCTTTCGCTTTCGTGATCTTTCTATCATCTCTTTTTCATATTTTTTTCTTATCTAGTCATCTCATCATTGTCAGTAACGGTTAACCTAAACCTCGTGTGATTTCCTTTTTTTTGAATACAAGCGTGATTTTTTTTTTGTTATAATGCATGAGAACAACTAATCATCATCAACATCTTTTCACTATATATTTCGAAAGTAATTTCTTTTTTCGTATTTGATGTGTGTGTGTGTTTTGATTTGGCATACTTGTTTTTTTGTTTTTGTTTTTGGCTTTGAGAATCTGATATAAACAGTATAACACTTTTGATTTTCTTTCCTTCTTCTTCTTTTCTTTTTCATTTGTTGTTTTCTTTTTTATCTCTGTTTTTTTTTGTTGCAGTTTTGGGTTCTATATATATATATATATAAGTAATGTATATTCATCTTTGAAAAAAAATGTGATGTTCAGATGTGTCTTTGCTATATATGGAGAATGAATGGAAGTAGATGTTTAAGGTGTTTGGAAAAGAGTTTTTGTTGAGAGAGTACTAATGAATTAAGCATGTATGGATCAAAAAATCAAAGTTTTAGTAATTGAAATTATAATGATGAAATCTCAAAATCACACTTTAGGGTCTATTGATCATGTGGTGGAGCATGGTCCATCAAGATTGGTGTGGAGATGGAAAAGATAGATGTTTAGTTTGTAGAATCTAGATGGAGTTCATTCTGCCAAAACTGAAGTGAAATTATTGGGCAGTGCAGCCAGCCTGAATTACGTCAAGAGGAGGTAGATAATGATATTTATTGATATTTACGATCAGAAGACGTAAGAATGATTTTAATTTTGTAGAGTTCAAGATTCCGCAATCGATCGAACGCTTTACTGATTTCCAACCAACACTTTACTTTTACTTTGAACCAATCATCATCATCAAAACTAACCAACTACAAAATGTCAAGCAATCAATCAGATCAAATTGAAAAAGATTCATCAATCCATCAAGACAATCATCATCAAACTACTTCAACTTTTACTTCAACTGATCAATCTCTTCATCAAAATCAGAATCAAAATCAATCATCTACTCATTGTAAGTTTACATTCGATTGATATCTACTTCTTTATCTTCTTATAATACATCCAAAAGCATCATCCAAAACCAATACACAATACGAACTAGAAATGGTATTTGTCAACTCTTTAAATCTTTATTCAACTTCAAAACAGCGGATCAAGAAAGATTACATTTGATATTCAGCTCCAATCAATCAATCAATTCAACAACTATCATCAAATATCAACTCACTCTTCTTGACTTCATTTTCTTGATCCAATCGGGTTATTGTTGAACCTTATGATTTTTGGATGGATAGAAAGATGAAAACACACTGCTTTGATTTGAGAATCAAGTGAGGTGATCCATGTTGTTGGTTTGAGAGAAAGAGTAGGATCGATGATGATGACGATTTGATTTGATTTGATTTGATTTGATTTGGTCTGGGAGACTACCCTTACCAATTGGCAATCAGATCAATCCACCAATCTAACACAGCCACATCTTCTGATGCATATTTAACTCGGTTGACCTTCATTTTGAATCTATTCTTTCTTTTCTCATTACCTCTTCTTACTCTCAATTAACATTCATCAACATGCAATCTCATGATGTGCAACTATGGTTCTACTATGCTTCTTCTGAACTCTCTGCACTTTTGATCTTGATCATCCTGATCATCCTTCATTGTCAATCCCCATTTCGAATCTTTACTTTTCTGATTGGAATGCACCTTCTGATATACTTTTTGGTTTTGGTTTTTGTTTTGATTGCTAGCTCCAAGATCTAACTCTCCACCTGCAGTTCAATCACCAACACTTATCACCGAGGAAGAATCACCACGTCCTCGAACCACTCGAAGAGTACCGAACAGTCCGAATGCGAAAAGTGTAGAAGTCACACATGTAAGAGCAGGAGAAGAATTTGTACCAGGTGTAAGTGAATATGCGAAAGCTCTCTCAAAGTTTTTTTTGGAATGACTGATGAAGATTATACGGGGAATTTATAGATAGCCAATCAACATCCACCTATCGGATCAAGTGCAGGTCAAGCTTTTAAAGTAGGAGTCTCAGAAGATCGTAATCGGAAATGTAGAAGGACTATGGAAGATTCTCATTCGTTTCTTTATAGTTTTGGTGATGTTGAAGGTCAAGGGTATTTTGCTGTCTTTGATGGTCATGCTGGTAAACATGCTGCTGAATGGTGTGGTCAATGGTTTCATGAGGTTTGTTTTGATAAATCAAGTTTTCTTTTGCAGATTGGAATTGATGGTTTCTGTTTTGGTTTTGTTTTTGGTAGTATTTTTTACAACAATTGATTCAATCTTCAAAAACTACACCAGTACCTGATCTCTTAAACTCAACCTTTCACATAGTTGACACAAAACTATCACAACTAGCAGCCGAAGATGGAACTCATTCAGGTTGTACAGCCGTGACAGCCTTTTTAAGATTAGAAAATGAAGAAGGAGAACCGTGTGGAGGAGTAGGAGCAGGAGTGAGTTCGAAAGCCAAGAGTCGAGTGAATGAGTTGGGAGAAGGACTGGCGGGGGCTGAGAGAGAAAGGAATGCGATGACAGAAGCTTTGGATGGAACTCAACGGGCTACAGAAGAGAGGAGGAAAGCACTTGAGTCGACTGCTTTGCATGAATCTGTTGGTTCGACTAAAGCTGTTAAACGTACTCTTTATACTGCCAACGTTGGGGATGCTAGAGCGGTTCTTTGGTATGGATTTTTTCTTACTCTGAGTTAGATAATTGATTTTCTTACACTGTGTTCTTTTGGGGGGTGGGTTCTTTCTGTAGTCGTGGTGGAACGGCTGTTCGATTGACGTATGATCATAAAGGATCAGATCAACAAGAAGCACAAAGGATCATGGCAGCTGGAGGGTTTGTGATGAACAATCGAGTGAATGGTAAGTGAATTAAAAGAAATTGATTTGGAATTGGAATTTGAAAGTTGAAAGTTGAAATTGGATTGGGTGGTTCGAATAGGTGTTTTGGCCGTCACAAGATCGTTGGGTGATTCTTCTATGAAAGAGTTTGTCGTTGGATCACCTTATACTACTGAAACTACATTAGGTGATGATGATGAGTTTTTGATTATTGCATGTGATAGAGTAAGTGAAATGTTTTGAAACTCGAATCTATTTAAAAGAGAAGTTTAAGTTGATTGTTTTGATTGATTGATTTTTTTTTGGTGGGGGATATGATTAGTTATGGGATGTTTGTGAAGATCAAGATGCAGTGAATTTGATTAGAAAAGTTAAAGATCCACAAGAAGCAAGTCGAGTGTTACTTGATCATGCTCTTTCACAATTTTCAGTAAGTGGTGATATTTCATGAACAAAATGAGTTTTACTTGGGATTGATTTTTGATTTTTTTGAATGGCAGACTGATAATTTGAGTGTTTTGGTGGTTGCTTTAAAACCGATTTCGTTTTATGATGTTTAATTGATGATTGATGAGGTATAAATGGAGATTTAAACTTTGGTTATGATGATTTTGATGCTTAGTGTTGATAGATATAAACTCTATTTATCAGTAATCAGTAATCAGTTGATCAGTAATCGAATTTTCAATTTTCAATTTGTGTTTGAATTTCATGAATGTTAAAGTGAAAAGAAGTACAATTTTTTTTTGGTTTTTTTGGTTATTACAAGTTGAACAAGATGAGAAGGTTTGGATGCTCTTTTTTTTTTAGGAATTTATTGTGTAGATATATATTTTTTTAGTTTGAAGAGAGATGATGATTATTTGATTGAGTTTGTTGGATATTTTGTAGTTTTAGTGAGTAATGTGTTTTTGAGTGTTTTTTTTTGAGAAGATTTTCCAAGATTGAATTTACATATTTATTCAAAGATTGGATTTGGAATATCCTCAGAGTTGGTTAGACAGATGAGCAATTTGGAGAAGTTGAGTGAATTTGAGATTAGAATGACGTGATTTCGATGAGTCATGAATCTCAAATTGATTTAAATATATAAAGGATTCATCACTTCATGAATCAAGTAGGTCACTTCCTACTACAATATATCAACTTATTATTTCTATATCTGTTCGACTTTCATAATCTTGAATGATGAAGACTGAAATTGATGGAACCAATCAAATCAAGAAATCAGAAGAGATAATGATCCATGTGGATGTTTTGAATGAAATCTTTGGTTCTGATGAACATGATCGATTTGGTAAATTAGAAATCAAAGATGAAGCATCAGTTCAAATTGAATTAGGTAAAGCTTTAGCCAAAATCGATCAAAAATATCAACTTTGTAAAATCATTAAAGATTATATCATCCATTTCAATCAACTACTTTTATCTAACAACAATGATGATGATGATGATGAGAAGAAGAAGGAAACTTTAGAAATCTTAGATCAACTGATTGGATGGCTAAATGATTATTATCATCCTGAACTTCGTCAACCTAAAGCACCAAGACTTGATGAGTTTCTTACAAAACACTCTTATTTACTTGAACACAAGTTAAAGAAATTAGTCAAGTTTTCTGGTTTGGTTCGGGTTACAACTGATTGGATTATACATACGATCGATTCGAATGATCAATCAAAAGATAATTATGTTTCGTTGATTAATTCATTCTTGTCTTCTAAGAAATGTGATTTGAATTTAATTTTGGTGGTCAGGAATCGATTTGATGCTAAAGTGGGCAAGGCTTTGGGGCTTTATGGTATGGAGTATGGGAATGGGTTTATAGGATCTATATGTGTTTCTTTAAACCGATCACACGCTATTGAAACCTTGAAAGCTGGTATGGAGTTTAAAGGTCCTTCGATCGTTTTATCTTATTTACCTGAAATTGATCATCAAGAAGAGAATCGGAATGAGGTGATGGTCAAATGGCCTTTGTATAGATGGATACCTTGGACTGAGGTTTCGGATGAATCTTTTGTGGTTGAAGATCAAGAGGTTCATGAGAATTTAAATGAGTTTTTTAGTAGAAGGTCTCATCTTAGTTTATTATCTTCTAATTTATCTCTTCATTCAATCTTACAACAAGATATGCATCAGAACCAGAACCAGAATCAAAATCAGAATCGAAATCAGGATCAGGATCAAAGAGGTTTAGAGGTTAAAGAAAAGAATCAAAAAGAAGACGAGATTAAAGAAGCTTATGAAAGATTAGTGAATGGGTTTAAACAAGAACAGGATGAAAGAATGGTAAGGGTTTTGTTTGGATCAGATACAGGTACATCGGAAAAACTTGCGAAAAAGTTGACCAAGAAGTTAATCAAGTATGGGTTGAAGAATACTAGAGTGAAGATGATGAATGAGTTTGTTGATGAGATCGAAAGTGGATCAGAAGAGTTTAAGAAATTGAATTATTTGATTGTTTTTTGTTCTACTACTGGTCAAGGAGAAATCCCATTGAATGGTAGAAAGTTTTGGAAATTATTAGGTAATGGTGATGGGAATGGTTCGTTTGAAGATTTGAATTATATGGTCTTTGGATTAGGTGATTCACATTATTGGCCTAAGAAAGAAGATATTAGGTTTTATAATAAAGCATCAAAAGATATAGATATGAAATTAGAAAGTTTAGGTGCTAAGAAAAGTTTGAAGATTGGATTAGGTGATGAACAAGATCCGAATGGGATCCTTACGGGTTATCGGGTTTGGGAAAAAGAAGTTTGGAAGGTTTTAGGGATTCAGGAAGATGGTGATGAGGTTGAGGATGAGGTTGAAGATGAACCGATCACTAATGAACATATTAAGTTGGCTTCTGAGTTTCTTAGAGGAACTATTCGGGAAGGATTAATGGATACTAGTACGGGTGCTTTGGCTGAATCGGATGGACAGTAAGTTTTGGATTTCTTTTTTTTGATTATCTGAGGATTTAGAGATTGAGTGTTTTTAAATTGTTTGGATGGTGTTCTAGAGTGACTAAATTTCAGTACGTTTGGTTTTTAAAGCTGAAGATGAGTTGACAATTCATACTGAGCTCTGAACTTCTTTCTTTTTTGTTAAACTTAGTGGGATTTATCAACAAGATGATCGAGATGTAAGAGAAGCTAGATCATTAGAAGGTCTTGAACCGGCTTATTCTTTCATGGTTAGATGTAGATTACCAGCTGGAGTTTGTACACCTCAACAATGGTTAATGGTAGATGAACTTTCTAGGACTAAAGGAAATGATACGTTCAAGTTGACGACTAGACAAACTTTTCAATTTGTGAGGATTTTTTTTTGTTCTTCTTAATTGATTGAGATCTGTAAGGTACTGATTTGATGTATTCTTTTGCATAGCACGGAGTGGTGAAGAAGAATTTGAAAGGATTAATTCAAGGAATTAATCAAAGTTTGATGGATACACTTGCTGCATGTGGAGATGTGAATCGAACGGTGATGTGTTCAGCTAATCCAACAGAAGCACATATACATCAAGAAGTATATAAATTAGCCGAAAAGATCAGTGAACATTTGTTACCGAAGACAACAGCGTATGGAGAGATTTGGTTAGATAAGAAATTAGTGGGTAGTGCAGGAGTTTTTGAAGATGAAGAACCGTTATATGGACCAAGTTATTTACCACGAAAATTTAAAATCTCAATTGCGATTCCACCAGAGAATGATGTAGATGTTTTTGCACATGATGTTGGATTGATTACGATTATTGAAAACCATCAAATCATAGGATATAATTTATGTGTGGGTGGAGGAATGGGAGTCACTCATTCCAATCAATTAACTTATCCTAGATTATCTAATATCATTGGGTTTCTGAAACCTGATGAAGTGATTGAAGTTATAGAAAAGATTTTGTTGGTTCAACGTGATTTTGGAAATCGAAATGATCGAAAACAAGCTAGGATGAAATATACGATTGATCGAATTGGAATTGAAAAGTTTATTGATGAGATTGAAATTAGATTAGGTAGGAAATTGAATTATGTTACAAAAGAATTCGAATTTGAAAGTAATGTTGATAAGTTTGGTTGGTGCAAGAATGAGATTGGAGAAGAACATTTTACCATGTTTATTGAGAATGGTAGAGTTGAAGATAAGATTGAAGTAGAGGATGGGAATGGGAAGGGGAATGGGAAGGCGAAGGGGAAGTTGATGAAGACTGGGTTGAGAGAGATTGCTAAAGTTCATAAGGGAACGTTTAGGTTGACTCCAAATCAACATTTAATGATTTGTAATAGTTGAGTAAAGTTTGGATCACTTTTTGAATGTGACTGAATGAACTGATTGATTGATTGATTTGGTTGGTCAAATTGATTTGGTTTTGAAATCGGGTTTTCTTTTTGATGATATGTTGGGATTTCAAGTCTCGAGTAAAGAGAAACCAAAGATTGAAAAGTTATTGAAGTTTTATGGGTTGAATAATTTAGATTATTCAGGATTAAGATTAAGTTCATCTGCTTGTGTAGCTTTTCCAGTTAAGCTTTTTTTTGAATTGATTTGATCAATAGTTTTTTAAGGAAGATTAATGAAAGTTTTGTTTCTTTGGAAATTTTCTTAGACTTGCGGATTAGCAATGGCTGAATCTGAAAGGTATTTACCAATTTTGATTGATAAGATTGAAAAAATCATGGAGGAGAATGTGAGTATTGAAGTTTGATAGAAGTAGGTTTGAGGATAGGAGGACTGATGATGAACTTGAAATTGGTTTTGGATTTCTTTGAAAGGGTTTAAGAAATGATGAGTTAGTGATGAGGATGACTGGATGTCCGAATGGATGTGCAAGACCTTGTAAGTCACCAAAACTTTTTTACAGTACATTTTGATCATTAGATTATTGAGGTGTGTGATGATGATGATTTGATTGGATTTTAAACTTTTCAAAGGGGTAGCAGAAGTAGCGTTTGTAGGCAAATCAAAAGGAAATTATTTAATGTTATTAGGTGGAAATCGTAAAGGGACTAGATTAAATAAACCATTTAAAGAATCCGTGAATGAAGAAGAGATATTGAAATTGATGAGTTTGATGATTTTAGAATATTCAAAGTTTAGATTAAATCCAATGGAAGGATTTGGAGATTTTTCTTTGAGAGTTGGATGGATTAAAGAAACTACACGTGAGTGAATTTTCTATGAATGAAGCTTTTTTTTGATTGTGATTAGAGTGTTTGATTGCATTTGTTTTGATCAAATCGATTCGAATGGTTTGGATTTGCTTAATATGATCAGATGGAACGAATTTTTATCAACGTAAGTGATCATGAAGTTTGATTAGATGAAAATTGATAGGCTTGCTTATATGGATCGTGTTTTTTTGATCTGTTTAGATATGTTTCCAAAAGTGATTGAAGTTGAATAGGTGCATGATACGTATTTGATCTCTTTATATTTCCTAGTTCTTCAAGATCAATGTTGTTGTAGTTTTATTTGTTGATCCATATTTTAAAGTGTATAGAAAATAATTTTGAAGATGAAAGAGCTTTACTTTAACTTTTTGTGAGTAAGAAAATCAAATGAGTTTGTTAAAGAGATTTGGATGAAATTAACTTGAGTGCTTGAAACATCAAGGAGTCTTGAAGGCTGGCAATGTCATGAATTGATGATGTATGAAGGAGAGAATATCACTAATGATGATTTTGAAAAAGCAAAGAAGGTCTTCAATAAGTCAAAATGTTTGAGTAATAATATGATGAAGAATTCTTTGTGATCAATTTTCTTCATTTGATCTTTTTGTTTTTGTTAGTAAACTTTTTCTTTTGAAATGGTTCATGTTGTGGTTACTTTTGGTTGTGTAACAGGAGTGATGATTGGCTCATAAAGAGGTTTGATGATACTATCATGAGGTCTGCAATCTGATATGTACATAGTATGAATGAATCCACCTTTAAGGTAAGGTTTTAAATGATTTGATGGTCTTGAGATCAATGACCTGAGTAAAGAGATGTGATAAGAGCAAGAACTTATCCTTGACAAAAACAATCTTGAAAATGTCAAGCAGTTTTGAAAACAAATGCTACCTCCTTTGTTTTTTTTCATTCTTCTTTAAAGAAAAAAGGTGCCATCAAAAAGCAATGTCATAGTTTCTTTGTAAGAGCTGTAGTCTGATTTGTTTGTACATAATCAAAATGCACAAAGCTTTCTTATGTGGTTGCCACTGAAGCTCAGTGCCACCATGTGCACACCGGCACCCAGACAGGAAAACAATTTGACTAAGTCCCTGCTCATTTTTCAGATGCTTCCTATATGGAGCCTGCTGTTATGGACAGACTTGGGGGTTTTCGGCGACGAGGGTCAAGGGAGTTCTGGTGAGGATTTGTATCTATTACCAGTCTTCCTATGTGGATTGTCGGATGAGGGAAAATCTGTACAGGCAATGTATCTACAACTATAAGATGGTTCTCGAGCTTGTGACATGTAATGTGAATATGTCACTCAAGTGAAATAGAACCAGTTCATAACATTATCCCCCCTTTAATGCCCAAGCTTCCTCTTGCAAGCTCTGCATTCTTTCCACGGGCTGCGTTAAAAAACCCAGTGGGAAAAAGCATAGCCCTCTCACTTCTTCCGCCTTCTCCTTTTGTACTTATTTGTTGCGTCGGGATATTTTAAATTAAACTCATTAACTAAATCTTGACTATTCTTGAGGTTGATTTTGGGTTCCCATGAATTGTTTTCCTTGCCAAATCCTTTCCAACTCACAAAGTATTCCTTCTTGTTGTACCTTCTTCTACAATCTAGTATCTCGTTGACTTCCCATTCTTCTTCATCCTGTATTATGATTGGTTCGACTGGGGGTTGTTTTCGTTGATGTATTGTATCCGGGTTATGTTTCCTGAGTACAGAGACATGAAATACAGGATGGACGCTTTTCATGGAAAGAGGGAGATTCAATTTATAAGTAGAATTTGATATCTTTTGGATAATGAAGAAAGGACCTAGCCATCTATTTTCTAATTTTGGGCTTGGCCTAGTTGTCGAAATGTTTCGTCCGTTCAACCAGACTTGGTCTCCTACTTCCCATCTTGGTGTTTGTTGTACTCTTTTGTCAAATTGTTCTTTCATCTTCTCTTGAGTTAATTCTAAACATTGATTTAATTCAGATTGCACTTCGGCGAGTGTTTGCATCCTCTTCTCTACTGCTGGCACACACTGTTCAGCTGATGGTACTTTGTTGAATGATGGGTTAAATCCATAGTTAGCTTTAAACGGTGAAATGCCCGTGGATTCATGGTCTTTGTTGTTATACGAGAACTCAGCTGTGGGCAGTAGACTTTCCCAATCGTCTTGTCGATATTTAACGAAATGTCGTAAATATTGTTCGATTACTTTATTGACGATCTCGCTTTGACCGTCTGTACGTGGGTGGAAAGCGGTTGACGGGTGAAGGCGTATACCTAGGCGTTTGTCAATTTCTTCCGTGATCTGTGAAATGAAAATACTACCCCTATCTGAGATTATCGTCTTGGGAGTTCCATGAAGCTTCCATACGTTCTTCATCATGAGATCTGCTAGGTCTTCAGCCGACATTGATTCAGTACAAGCAATGAAATGACTCATTTTCGTTAATCTATCCACCACGGTTAATATGCTGTCGTAGCCGTTTGATGCAGGGAGGCCGGTGATAAGGTCATATGAGATATCCGTCCACGGGCCAGCCGGTATCGGTAATGGCTCCAGAGTCCCAAAGGGTTTCTGTGTGGTTGATTTAACCCTTAGACAAGAGTCACAACCGTCCACGTACCTGTTGACGTACACTTTCTGAGATGGCCAGATGAAGCTTCTCCTGACCAATCCGAGAGTCTTTGATCGACCTGGGTGGCCCGCAAGCAATGAGTCGTGTCTGCTTCTTAGTATTGAGTATTTGATGTCGTCGACGTCAGGTACCTCTATTCTACCTTGGTTGTAGAGGATACCATCTTGTACTTTGTAATGCTTCAAAGCTGCTTTCGTCTTGGCTGATATCGGGTTCAAGGTTGCGTTCATCAGTTCCCCTATCCTGTCACACTCTTTGCTTGCGTCTCTGATTCGTTGTATAATTTGATCATCCGTAGGAATGTCCGGTGCCTTAGTGTCAGTTTCAGCGATGCCCAATACATCCACCTCAAACCAGTGCTCAGAATTGTCGAGTGCAACCACTTCATCTTCGAAGAACCCCTCTACGCTAGCAAGCTCGACCGGGAACGTGTCTGGGCCGATGTTTTCGGGTCTTAACAACTGGCCAAAGGTCAATTTTTCCTCGTTAGTAGGCGCCAGGTCCGGTCTTCTAGATAAGGCATCTGGTTTGGTAGCTTTACTGCCGGGTCGGAATTTAATCACGAAATCGAAACAGCCCAGTGTCTCCGCCCATCGAGCCTGTCTGCGGGTAAGCTGCTTGGTTGTCATGAAAGACTCCAGGTTACGATGGTCCGTGTAGACTATCACATCTAGGCGGTTGGGGTTTCCCTCCAGGTAGTGGCGCCACTCTTTGAAAGACGCGACAATCGCCAGTAGTTCCTTATCAAAGATCTCGTAGTTCCTTTCAGCTTGGACTAGTGATCTGGACAGGTAAGCTACTGGGTGGAGTTCTCCATCGTCCTCGCTGCGTTGTGATAGCACTGCTCCTAATGCAAAATCGGAGCAGTCACATTCCAGAGTAAACGGCTTGTATGGATCGGCTATCTTCAGTACGGGTGCGGTGGTGAAGGAGGTCTTCAGGCTCTCAAAGGCTTTTTCGCATTTTTCATCCCAGACATAGTGCGCGTTGAGCTTGGTCAGATTATGAAGTGGTCTTGTGGTTCTTGAAAATTGGTCGATGAAACGTCGGTAAAAATTGGCGAATCCAATGAAGCGTTGGAGTTCAGATACTGATTGGGGTGCTGGCCATTCTTTGACGGCTTTCACTTTCGTCGGGTCCATTCTGATTTTATTCTTAGAGATAATAAGGCCAAGGTATTCAATTTCCTTCTTCGAGAACTCGCATTTTTCGGGTTTCAGCCAGAGTGTATGCTTGGATAGGACGTCAAGTACGCCATCAACAGCGCCTTCGTGATCTACTTTAGGCTTTGTATAAATCATAATGTCATCCAAGAAGGCCGCGGTGTCTTTACCTATACGTCCCAATAAGATATCTTGAATAAAGTATTGGAAATAACCAGGGGCGCCTGTTGGCCCAAAAGGCATAGTCAGAGGTGCAAACTGGCCTTGTTTGCATATAAAGGCCAGTTTATCCTCATCACCCTCTGCTACTCGAAGATTACCGTACGCATTGCGCATATCAAGCTTGGTAAAGTCTTCGGCATCCAGCAAACTGTCGACTAAGTCGATAGTCAACGGTAATGGGTATTTGTTCTTGACGGTTAGGGCGTTGAGCTTACGGTAATCAAAACAAGGGCGCAGATTGCCGTCCTTCTTCCCTGTGAATAACACAGGGGCAGCCCATGGCGAAGTGGTTCGACGGATAGTCCCGTTGGCTAAGCCTGAATTCACCAATTCCTCCAAAGCAGCGTCCTCGGCTGGTGATAATGGAATTATCCTGCTAGCCTGCGGTTGAGCTCCTGGTATCAGTTCGACACGAAAGTCGTAGCGGCGTCTCGGGGGTAGGCGTTGGGCATTGGACTTCCTAAACATGTGTAAGTGCCTATGATACCTAGACGGGACAATTTCCTCTAGAGCTTTGACGGGTTCGAGTTTCTTTTTGTCGGCGGCGAGTCGTGCTGAGGTTGACCAGGACGTCTTGGCTGCTGTGACCTGGATTGATGTGTTATTCAAGGGAGAAACAGGCTTGCCAGCTGTTCGGGTTGAACATGGGTTGGAATCAGTAATAAACTCACATTGCGGGGGCGTTGATATATCTAAAAAGACATTAGCCCCCTCGTCACTGTTCCTTGCGTGCCCCTGAGGCTCCTCCTTGGGATCGTCGGGGTTCTGTGGCGGGACGGACGAGGCCGTATTCACTACGGCCGCAATGCTCGTATCCGGGTCTTGTGTCGTGATGTGTTCGTGGTTTTCGTTGTTCGTGGTGGGTGTAATCGTGATAAGGGGGGAACTATCGGGAGATAGAGGGTTGTCATCTGTTTCAAGGTGATTAGGATTAACTGGACTCTCGAACTCACATTGCGGGGATGCTAACGTGTCAGAATTGACACACATCCCCTCGTAATTGTGCCTAGCGTCCCTCATGGGGTCCAACGAGTGGCCAGATAAGGGTGTTTTCGGCCAATACGAAACCAATGAAGTGGTTGCAACGTGAGTCTCGGCTGGGTGTACCATACTTTTACTCCAGTCAATCAGGTGAAAGTTTTTCTTGATCCATGGCATGCCAAGTATGCCGTCGTACGAGTCTTTGAGTCTTGTAATGATGAATGGGGTCGGTAATGGGTCGGATTTGATAAAAAGGTGGGTCTTGAAGGAAGATCGGCTCTCAGAGCCGTTGAATCCAGTGATCAATTGGTCATGTCGATCAGCACCGGCTATCAAGCCAGCGTGGTAGGCAAATGATTCACTGAGCACATCGTGCGTAGCACCTGAATCAATGAGGAACGTAGCGGGAAATGTTCGGGACGGTGTGGCTCGGGGAATTTGGGACATGGATAATGTGGTGTGTAAAAAAATGCGCGGGTCGTTTGTATTGCACAAGTTCATTCTACTAGATCCCACATTAATTGATGACAAATTCTCCAGGTGGCTCAGGATGGGCACAACCTTCAATCCTGAGCTTCTCCATTTTTTGAAGTTTCAGCTTGTCCTACTCCTTCTAAACTACTGGTATGATTCACCCTCTGATTACTCAACTCTGCGACTTTAATTTCCAATCCAGCTATTTTTGATTGATAACCACCTCGACCCTTCCCTTTCCTACTAGCTCTACGATCGGGACATGCGCTGGAGATGTGACCCTGGCCATTGCAGCGGAAGCATAAACCCGCTCGCATACGTCGTGCTCGTTCCTCTTCGGACAATCTAACGTAGGCGGCTGATAAATCCATGGCATTGGGGTCTGAGATTCCTGCACTCGTGCTTGGCGTATGGAAGGTTGGGTTGGTCGCGCCGTGTAATTTACTGTCTATCTTGATAGCTAAATTAGTGATTTGTTCAATTGACGTGAAATCCTCTTGCGTCATAACCATTGCCACTCTAATCTCCTTTTTCAAACCTTGCTTGTATTGACTAATGAGCGTCGGAGTTTCCCAGCCAGTAGAAGTTGCGTGAATGTTAAATTCATGGGTATACGCGGCCACGGTGGTCTTCTGCGATAAGTTTCGCAGCGCGCGTTCCGCCTTCGATTTCTTCTCAGTATCGAAATACATAGCTTTAAAATTTGTAACGAAGCGTTCAAAGGTTACGAGGTGGGCGGTAGCGGGGTCGAATAACTCCTTTGTCAAGGGTTGCGCCCAACTGCTGGCTGCTCCCGTGAGGTAAGACAGCGAGAAAACCACCTTACTTCGGTCGTCGGGGAAGAGGTAGGGGTGTGCCAGCATATAGAGCTGGACTTGACTCGCAAAGATCTCTGCGGGTTCGCCTCGAGCGCCGTTGAATTTATCGGGCGTCGAGACTTTGGGGCCCTTCAGGACCGGTTCAGCTGGTGGTGGCTGTGGCGCAGTGGGTGGTTGAGTGGCTGCAGCAGGTGCAGATGGGCCTCGGGATTCCAACGCCGCTAAACGAGCTTCGGACTGCTGGTATCTGGCTTCAGCTTGTCCTCGCATCAGGCGTTCTTCAGCCAATGAGGTGGAAAGCTCCGCAAGCTTGCGTTGTATGTCTTCGAGAGAGGTCATGTTGGTGTCAGACATATCGATCTCGCTACCGGTAAGGCTAGAATCGGCGTCGAGAAAAGGGATCGGAGTTTCACTATCAGAGTCCTCCTCCTCTAAAGGAGCACGGTAAGATGGAGACGTGGTTGCGTTTGCTAGTCCAGGGATCACAGTCGGGATCGACAGAGTTTTTAGTAAGTAAGATAAGGTTCTGGTGGATTCGGTTTCAGCGTATGCAGATTAGTTAATAAGGTTTTCGATTTCGAATAGTTTCTTGGGTCTTTTCAACTTTGAATTTCTGAGATCTAGATAAGGTTTTCTAATGAGGTCGAGATTCGCTAGTATTCTGAATCTTGAGGTTCGGTTTTCTTTCGATTTAAGTCAATTCTACTTGTTTCTTCTTGGTGATCTATCTATAGTCCTTGAGTCTCGTCTATAGATCCGACAATATGTTATGGACAGACTTGGGGGTTTTCGGCGACGAGGGTCAAGGGAGTTCTGGTGAGGATTTGTATCTATTACCAGTCTTCCTATGTGGATTGTCGGATGAGGGAAAATCTGTACAGGCAATGTATCTACAACTATAAGATGGTTCTCGAGCTTGTGACATGTAATGTGAATATGTCACTCAAGTGAAATAGAACCAGTTCATAACAATCTACATGATAATGTGGATTAGATTTCTCTTGGCAATTGACGCCCAGCTGCCGCACAGGCATGAGCAATGGTCACCACAGCCATTACATGTAATTCCAACTTCATCAAAACATTATGCTTATCAAGGTGAATGAGAACACAGTGTCTCAAAGATGTGGCCACGTTATCAAGGACCCTTGTGCTTATGCCCAAGCACCCTTTTTGCCAATGTGGTACTCCTTATCCTCAGTCAAGCATGTGTTGTATCATGCACTTTGAATTGCTATAAAGACAAAAGACATCAATCTGATTCCATGCTAATATGACCTTGACCCATTCTCATCTGTCTCTTTTGCTGTAGTGACAATTGACCACAAATTCAATAGGCAAGAAGGTCTTGTCTCTTTCACTATCAAAAGCTTTGTATTGACATCCTCATGAATCCATGCATTGCTCATACTATCACCATCACACAAAGGAGTCAGAGTGATATTGAAGTCTATGATATCTACATATCTATTTGTACACAAGAATTTTTACTCTATTTGCCATCTCTCCCTCATCCCATCATGTTCTGTCAGTGCCAGCACCAATCACCGTGCCGTGTGAAGGACCTCTCTTTGGGAGGAATAGCTCTGGTGAAAAACTGGTAAGTACTATAATCGGTGGTATCAGAAAGGGCATCATCGTAAAATGTCTTGAAGAACCCGCTGGGATCTTTTCTTGCCAAGTACCTTAAAACACCAACAAATTCAGTATCAAGACCTCTAGGCATATGCGCAAATGCTTGACTTTGTATCAAAGCAAAAGACTCTCTAGCCAAGTCTACAATTTTCACATGATAAGCACCTGCCTCTAATCGGTTCCATTGAGTCTCAAACCAAAGTTGAGGAAGTCTCTCCATGAAATTTGAATATTGCTGTAGGAAGAAAGGTGTTGGATCACCCACTTTGTCACTGGACTGACGCTTTTTAGCTTTTATGATCATATTCAAGCTTATTGTGTCAATTCCCCTTTTTTGATGCTCCTCAATCTCTGTTGAAGAATGCAAAGAGAATGAGTTTTGCGATCAAGTATAAACGAGTACTAGTTAACTCTGCTCACCTTCTGTCATACCAGACACAAAATCCAATTGTTGTTTGAAGGACATGTGCTCATCACTTCTCTCAGCGTTTCTAGCCTTACTCCTCAGTAACTTGAGATATTCCAAAAGGGATTTTTCCGATCCATTTTTGCTTCCAGAGCTGGAACTTTTGAACATGATTGTCATTGGGTCTTCTTCGATTTCTGAGCGTGTCAGGTGCCACGCAAAATAATTACGGGACACAAGGCTGTTGAGGATTTCTACTGAAGCCTTTTCTTCCGGGGTTAGTATTTTGCTCATTGACTCCTTTTTGGAAAGCTCTTTGAGATTCTCCAGAACGGAATGGACCACTTTTGACACTCTTCCTTCAGAAGCTTTCAGATGGTCCTCTGATGATCCCTCCGAACTGTATCCTCTAAGACTACGATCTGGTTTAGCTCCGTTCAAATCCTCCTCTGTTAACTTTGAGACGCTGTCTAACACTTCCTCAAAACTTTTCTCAGAGTGTAATGATGCCGGGATTGAAAGTTTGATATCACCTACAGCGTTAAAACACACCTGAGTAACAGTTTCTGGCGGATCAATTTAATGGGAACTGACTTACCGTATAGAGTTTGAGGCATGTCTATTTTTCAAACAGAAGATATTCCAAAGACAAAGCGTAATGACGGTTGGAAGTCAGCTTATAACTCAATATTATGGTGGATGTTTACATGATATGGTTTTACCTTTCTTTCTTGAAGTTGAGATATCTTGGGACACCACGCTATAGCACTTGGACTCCCATTCTGATTCATGAAAATACACATGGATCAGTAACATATCAAAAAAGTTCATGCATACAATTTGCAACTTCAACAAAAGAGTCAAGTCATTCAAACAGGACTATACCTTTGGTCAATGAATCTTGCTCTCTTTTATCCAAGTGAGCTTTCAAGTTAAAGTCTTTCAACAATTTCATCCCCGTAACATCGCGATGGCTCAATCCCTCCTTAGAGAGCACATGCATATACAAAGATTGTTGCACAGTACTATCTTCAAGTACGTTGATGAGCCATTTTGAGTTAATAGTAGTTCTCAAGTCAAACCTATAGATGTGATTGAGAGTTTGATATACTAATCGAACCGTTTGAGATACCTTGCCATCGTTGATGTCTCTTGTCACTGACTGACGGAAAATATCTCGTATTCTATTGATGACAGGAAGAATGTCTTCATAATAACCTCTGTCCATTGAAGGCCAGCTTGTCCACATCTTGAGACGAGAAAATCCATCTATGAGTCTCAAGATGTCACTTTCCAGCGCTTTTGGTATTTCTCTCTTATCGATTGCCTCCCGGAACGCTCGAAGATGACCGCGTCTCTCATTGGTCTCAGTCCATTCTTGATATGAATGGTCGAATTTAACATTAGTAGCTGCTATTGACTGATTGCAATGATGAAATCTTTACAAAACGACAGAAGCTTACCAAAGTGAAGTTGTTCCAAGAAATTGTTATATCGCCCAGGATATAAATCTGGTTTTTCTTCTCCAAATTCTTCTTCAGAGTCAGAGTGAAGTAGGCCACGCCAGATACCTTCTGTTTTAAATTCTGCCTCAGAATCAATCAACGCACACCACATCTTTTCTACCTCTTCATCGGATAATGACTCAAAGATATGTTCAAAAAAGTAATCTTTAGCATTGGCGTTCACATAACCCAGGCACTTCATTAATTGAAGATCAAAGGTCATAAAACCTGTGTTGTATCCAATCTTTGATTCTTTTTGCATAGAGATAATGATCCTTGAAACCCATGACTTTGCACTTTCTGTATCTTCACTCGATGTCTCTTCCCATTTGGTAACATCCTTGATTTTGGCAAATCTCTCAATCAATTCTTTTACTTCTTCCAGTCTATCATCATCTCGAAGCATTGAGTTTGGAATGAAGGACTTTAGCTCATTGATCATGTTGGCCTTGATAGCTTGCGCTTCTTTCTGGATCAAATCGCCTGATCACAATACACCAGTCAGTTTACGCGAGTGTCATACCTGTAGTTTGATGGAATGACTCACCATTAAGAACTTTGTAAAACATGATTTGGGTAGTAAAATCACCTCATGAAAATGATCAGCCTGATCATCTGGTGATATGTGATAGGGAAAAAATTACACTTCTGTAGTGAATGATCACTCACCAATATCCGTGGCCAAATTTGTGTCTGAGAAGATCCAATGCCAAGTTCCAGAACGCAGGACTATGAGTTCTTTGACCAATCTGTCAACCGTCTAGAGAGACAACGTCCACTCACCTGCAGAAAAATATAGGTCGTCGTGTACCTTTGCAAAGCGCCGTGGAGATCTACCAAGGGGCCGTCTGGGCCAATTCTCCGCACTTTTCATCACAAGTAAGGAAGATGGAGATGGCGGATCGGACAGATGTATAGCTTCAGCATCGTTGTGATGGACGTCGCCCTTGTAAACATAATTTTCTGTGTACAGTTTACGATCTCCGAGTACGATAGCTTTCTTGTCTTGTAATTGTACTTTGGGTGGTGTACCAACCAGGTTGTGCGCATTGTGAGTTCCGAACATCAACTCATTATTGGATGAACTATGTACTCTGGGGCTCAAATATATTGCGTTGTCTACTACTTCTAAAGGCTTGGATGCTATGCCTTGTAGCAGGCTACAAAGAAGCACCCATGCAAGGAACTGCTTCATGGTAATGTCACGTAACTTGGTAGGAGGAAGGTGGTTTTTTGAAAAAGGGTCAATTCTGAGTCCTCGGCGTAAGGAAGCGAAATATCAGAAGTTGTAGTGAGGTTGAGTGACAGAGAAGATACTCTTCTAGATGATGGTTATCAATATCTCGAGCGAGTGCGATTGTGATTGTCCGGGCCTGCAAAACCATTCGACCGAATTATATATAGTGCAAATGAAATGAAGCACCTCAGACCAAGATGTGCTGCGGCGAGGATTATCAACTGCTCATCGGCTGTGCCACTGACTTAAGTAAGTCCCTACTGCAGGCTCCGACCTGCCGCTGGTGGGGATTGTGTTAAGCTAGGCTGTGCCATAGATATGTACATAACATACTTTGAGGGGCATCTTAGTCAGGTCATGATTGCTGCTGATTGCTGGTATGGGATCTTCTTGGCGTTCACCAAAGATAAGAACAGAACCTGAAGCTGACTTGGCTTAAGTCCCCTCACTTCCCGAGGAAAGGAGCTCCGCAAGGTTTACGTACTTCGGAGCTTGTTGGGGTTTACCCCGAGAACCGAGTCTAACTTACCGCATGTGAGTGCCTGTGGCGTCCCCGGAAAGAGAAAGATCTGAAGTCTTGAGTGAGGTTGAGTGACAGGGACAAGATCCTTTCGTATGATAGACATCAACATCCCGAGAATTTGCGATTATTCAAGATCAGCCAGTGTCAAACCCATCCGACAGAATCATATCAAACGATGAACCTCGGAGCAAATTGTGTCGCAGGGAGAATAATTAACTGCTCAGCAGCTCTGCCATAGCACATAAGATATGATACCAGATCATCATTCTTGATTTCGGACTGTTTTCGCGTTCATCAAACATAAGACCAACAAGTCCCCTCAGTGCGCAGGTAGACAACACAGCAAGGCTCATTGTCTCTGAGGGACGCCGCGGTTCGGAGTTCGCCTTACCTCCTCTGTTTGTTCCGTTTCACTCCCGGGCACTGAGAGGACTTCGTCAAGTTACATCATGAAGGAACTCTCGATTCGAGTTTCGTATGTTAGGTTCGTCCGCGCGCGCCTCCTTGTGGCAGTGGTGAGCGTGGACACTCAGTGGATACAGAAACAGCGGGGGTGGAATGTTCAAACTGAGTGGGAAAATCTTGAAGATGACTTAGCAGGGTTCTTCCTCGGTGCGATTTGTATTGGTGTATGATGAGCAATGCAGTGAATGATTCTTGAAATCACTATACTTACAACGCAACTGGTATTTGCATATCTTGGTCACTGGTTTTCTTGCATGTGGTATACACCCACGTTAGAACTGTTTTCTTCAAGCAGATGAGTAGTCTAGATAAGCAGACCAATTTTAGGTATGAAGACAATATGGCAGGCACGTAAATTCGAGGTTTTTGTTCAACTGATACTTGTGATATAGCACAGAGAGCGAGGATGTTGAGAATAGATAATCGAGAATATAAACAAGTGAGTCAGATACCCAAAGAGCCTTATTATCTACACAAAAGTGTTGACCAAAACAGGCTGGTATAATTTCTTTAGGCTTCGTAGCTTGATTGGCTATTAAAACAGAGATGAATCCTCTGCCTCTCGAAGTGCAATGCGATCGCATGAGATCTGGTGGGCCTAGGATATACACCGTGATAATTTTATTACATTGGAGCTTGACAAAGCTTGACGGAGGTATCCTTGAATCAACATCGTATATCATAGATGTCATGTGAATAGAATCAGTTGGGACCTCCAGCGGCAGTAGTTGAAGGATAAGTCGACTGAAGACCATGCTGTCCAGTAGCTTCACCAATCTTTCGAGACACATAGGGGCCTTCTCGGCTATAATCAGGCTATCAAACCAAACTTTGGTATCAGAAACCTGGTCTTCTGAGATGTATCAGCTATTGAAGCCACTGACCTTGCTCATCCAAAGTTTGGATGCACTAGCGTCATTGAAGACTAACTTGGCCACAATTGCGCCTCCTAAGAACCCCAAGAGCTCGGGTCTAGATTTGAACTCGGAAAAATATTCCGGTACTTTTGCCGGTTTTGATCCTAATGCCTTAGATAGAACCTCCGCCAGGCCTAGATCAAGACCAAGGATATGTAATGCGAAATCGTTAGATGCCACACGCTGGTGAGAGTACGGAGATGTTAAGGATCATGAATACCTTCAGTACGACACGTGATACCACCTTGGCCAGTGAGAACAAGGTGTTCAGATACCTCTCGACGTTGGTTTTGACCACCGTCAATCTTCCGCAATGCGGTCTGAGCAGCTGCGATGATGCCATCACCAGCATCTTCAATCACTTCAGGTGTATATCGACTCGCATAAGCTTCGAGTCCATGTTGAGCAAAGGTTGATGGAATGAGACTGAGGACTGATGGCGAGAAGAGTGGTTCGGCGTGCCTGTGTCGGAATTTGCCTATCCTCAACTCGGCGGCAGTGAATTCGTTGGGAATTTGGATGGTACCAAAGTCGGTCGGAAGACGTGTAGGGCTACTCGCAGTATCCGAGGTAGGTACGGAGACGATGATGGTATCTGACTCTTTCAAGAGTTCAGCCTCGAGTTTTTTTGTTGATGTGGCAGTGCCTCGTCGGCTGTGAAGAGAGCCTGATGCTGAGGCACCACCAACACTGGTCTGTCGCCCTAAAAGCTTGTCTACTTTGCCACTCACAATCGCCTGAGCCACGTCTGTGATCGCATTTTCATCCTCTTCTACTGAGGTATCTGGCAGCGCACTAGCTAGATCGGAGAGTTCAGGTTGAAAGCGGATATGACCATCAGCCTTCAGACTGGTCACAAGGCTGCGAAGGGCTTGATAAAGCGCTTTGGGAGACTGGTTTTCGGCGCTGGGGCAGAGACGATCGGGTAGAGTTGTGTCATGAGTCAGGAGAAGTGCGATCAGGTAATTATCGCAATCTACCTCGCCCAGCGGAAAGGAGAGAGAACAGTGACGTAGGAGAACAGAATCGTGAATAAAGGAAAGCAATGTCGAATGTGTCCCAAGGTCGACGGATATTCCGGATGAATGATTGGATGCGAGTATATGAAGCAAGCCCGAGTCTACCAGAAAAAGAGCTGGAGCTTGAAGATTCTCAAAGAAGAGTTGAGTGAGCTTATCACGGGTGACATTGGAGATGGAGGGTGGAATGGATAGAAGGATATGTTGAGCAAGTGGTGGATTTGAGAGTTTGAGTGTCGTGAAGAGCAGGTGTCGACTAGAGTTGAAGATGACAAAGAAAATCAAAGCTTGTAGTCAGTGTCTGATGTCGAAAAGGAGTTGAAAAGTTCATAGACTCAACAAGAATGCATCAAGTGCTTTCCAATCCACCACCGATTGACCAGTGCCGTCACCACTATCAGTGAATAAGGATCGAGCGACGTATCCAGGTTTGGGTTCGAGACTATAGTCAGACCATCTTCGAGTTGGATCAGATGGTTGTAGAGATTCAGGAAGATAGATCTCCGTGGTAGAAGAGTGAGTAGGTGGTAAGATAGCTTCGGGAGAGAGACCAAGACCAGCTTGAATTGAATGGGAATGAGTTGAGAGGGAGATTATAAGTAAGTTTGCGTCACGAAAGCCAGACTAAGGTTTCGAAGATTCAAGTAAAAGAATTATAATCAGTAAATCGAAAAAGAAAGCAGATGAAGTACGTGATTCTAGACTGACTGAATGATTGAGGAGTGACTGACCATTTTGTCAGTTTTCTCTTTCCTTACTGAATCTTGATATTCTTTTGCCAATCACTTGTCTCTTTTCAACGATTTTCAAATCGGTCTGTGGAGTTCTTTGAGTCCTTTTCTGATGATAATATGTTGATGAATAGAAGCCTGGAAGGTGGATGAGGGTGGTTGTAGTCAAGTCGCGATTGACTTTTGACGCGAATCGATCGATGTTCTACAAACACCCTACACCCTACCCTAAGTCTAAGTACATAGAGCTAAACATGGAATTTACTCATGCTCTAAATTAAAACTACTTAAGATGAAACAACTTTGGTTTTTTTCGATTTCTTGTCTTGTTGATTAAATTTTCTTCAGTGGACCTTCATTCCAATATTTACGAGCAACATCACTTTTATAAAACTATCATCTTCAATTTAAATCATGTCACAACCTTACCCAACATTCGGCTCAAGCACAGCTGGGTTCCGTGGAGGACCAACTCCAGCTCCTATCACTTATCTTTGCTCGGGTCAGTTATCTTGATACTGTCAAATCATTCAGAATAAAACCTAAAACGGAGCATTCATTCATACTATCAGATTGTGGACGTGATAATATCATCAAACCTCGTGAACCAATCAGGTGTCAGGAATGTGGTTGTAGAGTGATGTACAAGAAAAGGATCAAAAGAAGTCTGTCGACTTTATCATCTATCTCAATACGTTATTAATACACTCTTACTTATCATCCCTGATCAATATGACTTTTTTTCAGTGGTTCAATTCGAAGCTCGTTGATTCTGCAGGCATCCTACTACATACGGATGTCTCCCTTATTCGTCTAATCACCTTATCAATTCGAAATTGTCACTTTCATCAAGCCTGTCAAACCACTTTACCTTTCATCCAACTTTGACTATCTTGGATGATGAAGCCGATGTACAATCAAGCGCATATACAAAAAATGAAATGAAACCTCCATCAGATGACCCGGAATCCAAGATCTCAAGTTATCCTCATAGGCTGATTGCGGCTCTACTTTTTGTACCTGAATCTGGATCACCATACCTCTTTGTGTACAGTTTTTGTACACTTCAATCTTCAGCACATATGTTAATGCCTCTCATTCCTTATCCTGTCATGTACTAAAACTGAACGTTAAATGATGGTTATGATCTGATACCTGCTCCATAACGTGTTACTTGTACACTTTACAGGAATGATCAACTCTCAGACAAGGGGTCTGGCCCATGGTCAGCCCCGGCCCTCAGCTTAGTATCGCATAGTATGATTTGGGAGCGCACTTCATCTTTGTTGGATCGCATGAGAAGCCAGAAGGGATAGCGAATGAATCAACATATTCATTGATTGCCTTGAATAAACAAACATTCACTTGTTGGATTGTACTCTTTCCTTCTTTATAATACAACTTGTTCACCTATCCTCAATTGAGAAGAACTCGCAAAAATCAACTCAAAATCATGCCATCAAATCTTGATTTATATTCCCTCAAATCAAGAAAATTGTTAGTCATGATCACAACTAGCCTGCGCTGCGAGTCGATCGTCTCTGGAAATTGCCCAGGATGAAAAAAGCAATACTCTTCGTATCATTTCAAAGTCGAGGTTGCGACTCGTTTTCGTCTCTCAACCAAGTGTAACGGGCATCCAGGCAAACATGGAAGACTGTCATGTAAGACCAGCAAGGAAAAAGGCTTTATAAATGATATGATTTTGCAAAAGAGACAACCAAAGACCCAACAAATGTAACGACCTAAGCGCTATACAAATAAGTTTAACAGACACACGATCAGGAGGAGAGGGTACATAAAATAAAGCAAGATTTGGATAATTGATAAGGCTAGCTTAATTCAGTTTCAAAGTTTGCTGTCGGAGATAGGACTTGCTACTTCGACGAGAAAGAAGATTTCGTTTGTTTTGAGGTCGGGTCTTGGTGGTATCTGGTACAGGGTCAAAGTCCTTTTCTGGGGGTGGTCGGTGTTGTGCAGCGTCTTGTTGTTCAGGCGAATCCACTGATTCCGCATGATAATCGCTCTTGGTCCCGTTTCCAGAGTAGGAAGAAGAAGTTGTTGCGTTCCCAGAACCCCCTTGATAATACATTGTAGAGTTTCCAGAAGAACCTAAAGAATTTGTTGAGAGAAGTCATCAGTACCTGTCATCAGAAAGATAGAGTGGGATTGTTTTACTGACCACCGTCCTCTTCACCATTAGTATTCTCATGGGCACCCTCAGCTGTCTCGTGTTGCATAGCAGAATCAAGGAAGAACCACCTTATCGGCCATGATTCGAATTTGTTGATTATAGAGTTACCCGTTGCTTCTTTCCATGCTACTTCACTCAACAGTACTGTTCGTCCAATCTCAGTTCGATCATTAGTATCAAAAGCATCGACAACCGTTAAAGTCAAATTGTTCTTAGGACCCGTCCATTTCTGCCCAGCTAGATTCTCGAAGATCACCACAACACGCTGGCCACACTTGGTGATTTTACCGGTATATAGATCTGAAGGAAGAGCGACTGTCATGCCATCATCTTTCTTGCGGGGAGGGCAGTGTTTCTTGACACCGGTAAGCGGAAGTGGGTACGGGATACCACTGAAGGGGGGAAGACTGAGTGAAGGTGGTGGGGGGTACAAGGCAGAGTAATCTCCAGAAGTATCAACCTTTTGAGGTGCTGACGGAGTAGACGATTTTCGAGTTCCTGGAGTAGACAATGAGAGCGGTATCAGTTTCAGCAACATTCCCCAAAAGCTTTGTCAAACAGAAAAAAGTAGACAAACCATTGGCATAGTGGTCATCAGGATGGGCATAAGAAGTGTAATTGCTGTACTGAGTAGAACTTGCGTCGTCAACATCGTTTGAAAGATTGTCTGAGCCAAGGCTGACTGGAGCACTGGGTTTGCTAGCGTCTTGTGGGTTTCTGCGCGAGAGCATCTTGCGTGAGATACCAGCTGAGGCCGAAGTTGAATGCATGGTGTCTAGAAGTCCGAGAAGAACAACGGACGCGATGATGGTTGCCACGTTCAATTGCATGTTGAAAGAACTGAAAATTTCTGCGAGTTACGATTTGCGAAGTTGGATTTTGATAGAGAAGTCCTTGGGAGATATTTGTGTGTTGATTGGGGTTGTGATAGGTGCAAAATGAAGAGGATAGTTGATGGAAGTGAAGATGGGGGTTTCTTGCGCTGCAAGTATAAGTTGGGATAAGACTGATAGGTGTTTGACTGATTGTAAGTGATGAAGGGATGAGGATAATGTTTCTAGAGCCACCGAGACGCCTGGTTTTATACCTATCAGAGGACCTACTGACATCAAGATGGCTCGCTGTCTTCAGACAAAGACCGTGTCTCAGGGATGGCAAATAACAAAATTGGCGCGATGATGGGCCTGGGACGACCTATCCCAGCCATCCTAACGCGTAGAAAACAATCGCGAGCCACGCGAAAGACCGACTAGCAATCGTCAATACTGTCGCTTCAGCATATTCCTGGATGGCAAGTAGCGTTCAAATCCTTCGCACGGTTGAGTTCGTCGCGTTTCACGTCAGCCAGAGTCCTGCGATTCCCGTTGATCTGCTCAATTCAAAACCAGACCGAGGATCCTGGCCTGATGGCGGGTCGGTGATCACTCATCGGAAGATACTGATACACGGAAATCGGCTTCAAGGTTGCGTCAGGCCCGTATGATGTTCCTTTTTCAGAGCACTGATAACCGTCCATCTCAAAAGGCACTTCCATGACATTCAACTTGGACACTCAAAGGACCGCCTTCAAGATCACGATGTCCATGGCCATCTTTGGCAGCTCTTGAATGGCTAGTGGGCTAGAAGGCCAGAACAGCCGTCTTGAAATTTTCTACCATTTGTAATGGAAGTTGGACCACGTCTTGACAAACGGGAATCGGGGCCAGTTACGCGAGGAAAACATATATGGGATACAAAGTTGAATCCGGGAACGGTCCCGGATTTTTTCCCAAATTTCCAAATACCGTTTTTAGCGGTAGTTTGGATATTGGGAAAAAATCCGGATTTTTTTATCTTTGAATCCCCGGTTGCTCCATCGGCCATTACACCTCTTTTTTCCCAAATTTCAACTCCATTTGGAAATTTGGAAATTTGGGAAAAAATCCGGGACCGTTCCCGGATTCAACTTTGTATCCCATAATAGTAGAGAAAGAAGACAACAACATACCATAAAAGAAGTTCATTAGAATTCAATCTGGAAAGGACTAAATCAACTAAGAGGGGAGCGTGGATATATCAGTTATAGCAGGAAGAAGGAATTCAGATTTTGATACGGCGTAAATTTAGAAATCTTTTTCAGAATTGAGATTTGTTAAAACTTATCTATTTATGGGATACAAAGTTGAATCCGGGAACGGTCCCGGATTTTTTCCCAAATTTCCAAATTTCCAAATGGAGTTGAAATTTGGGAAAAAAGAGGTGTAATGGCCGATGGAGCAACCGGGGATTCAAAGATAAAAAAATCCGGATTTTTTCCCAATATCCAAACTACCGCTAAAAACGGTATTTGGAAATTTGGGAAAAAATCCGGGACCGTTCCCGGATTCAACTTTGTATCCCATAATTGTTTGGTACTACAGCCAACTCTCTCTGAGTCTCAGTTGATGTCTCTCTAAGTGCATATGCCTCTGCAAACCCACCAAACCTTCAGAACCACCATACTTCACACTCCAGACAATGCCCGACAAATCCACAAGAGAGTTTGAAGTCGGCGCGGTCCAATTTGAAACCAAAAATCCTCCACATGGCATCTGTGTGGGGAACATCCTTTACCTTTCAATTTCTGATCTTCCTCTCTCAAAAATCAAAGCCAAAGGTATGCCCACTGAAGAGTTTGAGATTGATCAACTTCAAACTGATCTCAAATAATTGAAAGCTAGCTGCAACAAGAAAATCTTTGAGCTCACTCAATGTCAGAATCAAGGTGAAACTCTTTCTCCTGAAGATGAAGAATGGGTCAATCAGAATGAAAATCTTGTTCCCAAGTAGCTTGTAATCATTGAAATTCTAAACCATGATGAGAATTGCAGCCAATGTGCTCTCAATTTGGTTCCATCAAGGCTTGTGCCAATGACTATGAACAGCACAAGCTTGATCAGAATGAAGAAAATCAATTGAAGAAAATAAAACAATAACTCGCCCCAGACAAATCTGAAGTCAACACACAACAAAGCTTCAATTTCTAAGAAATTTTCCAAAGGGACCTCAACCAAAATCTGCTTGGCCACCATCACTCAGAAGATCCAAGTTCTTGACTGGTACCATGCAAATGGAGAAAGCCAGAGGACAACAGTCAAGCACTTTGTTTCATGCTTACCCCATCTCAACTTGAAGCAGCCAACATTCAGCCAATGGATTGGCTCCGAGCTCAAAATCTGTGGTACTGCTCCAGTCACTTCCCAAACATCTCTTTGAGTGTGACCAGTGAAGCATTCTGATATCTACAAGATGCTTGAAAAATGGCTTGATGAGGCTTCTGCTGTTGGAGTCATTGTTACAGGTGAGGTCATCAAAGCTCAGTGGAAGTCAAGGACTGAGACCACAATCTTCTTCCTGGAGCTCTCCATTACCCAAGCGCAGCAGCCAATCACCAAACTCTATGTTGTCTTCAGCCTCCTGAACGGACTGACCTTTGATTCATTGCATCCTCAGGTTTACATGCAAAGCATATTTGTCAATACTGGGCCATAAAGGTGAAATTTTAAATGAGGTGTTCAACTGTTGCTGCATTGTTGACTGAGGAATAACTGGCATTGTTTGTTGGTAATCACCGCCAAACAGCACACACATACCACCAAATGAAGCTTTACTACCACAAAGATCTTTCAAGCTACGGTCTACGGAGTGGATGACTGATTTGTTTTGCATGGCAATCCCATGCCAGACTAACAAAGTGGAATCCTTGAGTTGGCGCCCAGCTTTGTCTGTTGGACCAAAATCACAGGTTGTGAAGTCATCATTATGAATAGGAACTTTGAGAGCGGAGTCCGCCATTTTGCCATTTGACAACAACAGCACCATGACCCTGGAGGATGCGACCAACACGTAAGAGATCCCATCTGGGTTGGCTTTCTGTAGCAAAGCATTCATTATGTAAGTCTTTCTTTTCCCTCCAGGTCCATTGAGGTAGAACATACTACCTTCCCTCTTGCCAAAACATTTTGTCACAGCTGTGTATGAAAATCAACAAAGCACGTCTGATGATGATGACCTGATACCCAATAGACAAATCCTAGAGGTGAGTCTCCTGACACCTCACGTCTCTAAACTACCTGACAAACTAACCTAAAGAGTCAAGGTAAAAAGAAAACATAACAATAACAGATGAACAGAATTAGCAGAAAAGAAATTGATATAGAGAGTTGAGAAATATAGTCTAACCTAAAGGTTTAAGTCAGGATATGATATTTAAGGAAAGAAATCAACACAAGAAGGTTTCAGTATTTGATTCCAGTGTTGACATAGTATCAGATGAAAGACAAGAACAGAATATCAAGGATGAAATCAATTAGTGTATTCTGTACCGTGAATGAATTGAAGATATGAATGGATGAATTGAACTGGGGGGTACTGACTCTTTTCCTATACCGTGATAAACAGATGAAGAAAAGAGTAAGACATGTGTTGGAGTGGCACAGTAGTTTGAATGATGATGATTATAGTTTTTATTTAGAGATTAAGTTCAGTTTAAATTGAACTTTTGATCCTTGAAACTTGAACTTAATACATAACTTGCACGGTGTCTGAAACCCAAGTTATACGTGAATTTGTTAGGACCTTGAGACAGTGGAAGCAAGAAGGTGTAGGTGATATTAGCTTGATAACTACAGTGCAACGTAAGGAAACAGAAGTACAACATGGCTCTGACATCTAGTATTATTCGGGAACTGATACTCAGTATAAGCATAAGCCCAATAGTAGGCTCATGACATCATTCCCCCTCTATACCTCAACCCCCTCTTGACGGGTTAGGTATCTTCCCACGGGTTGGCATTAAAAACCACTTGGAAAAAAAGCCTCACCCTCTCTCATCTTCTCCTAGTCCTAAAATAATTCTTTTCCGCTTGAGGGTATTTTGTGTTGAAGTTCTTGACCATCTCTTTTGCATTTTCTGAATTCTCTTCTGGTTCCCACAAGTCATGATTTGATTCATATCCTTTCTAACTGATTAAATATTCAATTCTTCCTCTGTTCTTTCTTTTGTTGAATACTTCTCCAACTTCATATTCTTCTTGTTCTTGAATAATTACTGTCTCTGGTGCCTTCTTGACTTGGCCCTCAATTTCACTTTTGTTGAACTTTTGGGGTAGTTTCACATGAAAGACCGGATGTACTTCTTTCATTCCTCTGGGTAACAAAAGTTTGTACGCATTAGTTGAAATCGTTTTTCATATTTTGGATGGGCCTAGCCATTGATGTGATAACCTAGCATTAGGTCTGGTCATCAAGATATGTCTGCTATTGAGCCATACATATTCCCCTTCTTTCCAATCTGGAGCTTCTAGCACTTTCTGATCAGACTGGTGTTTCATTTAATCTTGAGCTTCATTCATTGCATATCTAAGTTCCTCTTGTACATCTTGTATTTGTTTAATTGATTCTTTGACTGCCGGTAAGTATTGATCTGGACCCAACGTTCCTGTTAAACTCACATTGAAGCCATAATTTGCTTTGAAAGGGGACATTCCAATAGAGATATGGAGATTGTTGTTGTATCAAACCTCAGCTAGTGGTAATAGACCTTCCCAATTGTCCTGTTTGTAAGAAGTGAAGTGTCGTATGTATTGCTCCACTGACTCGTTTGTAATCTCAGATCAGCTGTTGGTTTGCGGGTGGTAGGCCGTGGAGGACTGAGTTTTGATGCCTAGAATCTCATTAATTTCTTTAGTTGGTTTAGAGATGAATACATCGCCTCTGTCCAAAGTGATTGTCTTTGGCGTTCCATGAATCCTCCAAATGTTCTACACCATGAGTTTCGCAAGTTCTTCAGAGTTCATCAACTTCTTACACG